GCTTCCTCCGCCTTCTTCAATTTATGGAATTCCGATATGAGTTCGTCTCTAGTTGACTTGGCCGCCTTTTTCAAATCTTGAAGTTCGGCATCCATTTCGATAGACTCTTTCTGCTCAGCATTCAGGTGTTGTGGCGCTGATTCATCTCGTGTTAGATTCCCGTGGCATGCAAGATTTAATAAAGAATCCCTCGTCGGAGTTTGCATGAAAATGGATTGAGTATCGTTGAACACAGACATATAATTTGAAAAGGTTGCACTTTTTCGATGACCCATGATTATATTGCGTGAGTGCTCATCAAGATTCCCTAATACTTGTCAGTATCCAATTTATCAAACCCTAGACGTTCTGCGGCATACTCAAGTTTTCAGCTGCGCCTTTGCGGTATTTATAGAGTGATCCCTCGTCTGCGAATCCGGCCTTTGCGCTAGCCTACTTTTCGTATTCCTGTGCCTGGGAATATGAAAAGCCGACCTTACAGTCAGTGACCCAAGCTCCGTGTTTTGTTCTCACAGCGCGCCTGAAAACAGGAATGTTTTTTAGGCTATCCTTAAAATGAATAGGAGTGCTATGGCGAAGGTCTGGAACTTTTGTGAAGCGCCAAATATCTCGAGGGAATTTGATATGCGGGCTTGCAAATGCATCATCAAGAAAGGCATACATAAGTATATCCTGAATAACACATGGTCCGAGATTGTCGTTTCTTTCAGTATAAGTAAATGTAGGCCTAGTAATACTTAGACTGAATCATAATTGATAGTATAGGTCTAGAACTCACGGGGCTCCTTGATTTCTTTTTCCCTTGTTGAGCCTGTGCCTAACCCTCATGAGAAGAAGTTGGGCATCAGGATAATCGGGGTGTTTGACCATATATAGATCAACATCCTTCCATTTCAGCGCATCATTTTCCTCTTTGTAATAGGAGGACAGTACGAGGGTTCCAGGTCTGGCGGAAGTCGAGACCATCATTTTCCGCAGGGTGTTCAATTGGAAGAAGACCCGGACTGTGGGAAAGGCTATATCACAAGCGGCCACTAAATGATGCGTGATAAAAAATACCTCGTTGATGCTAAAGGGCGGCTGTTCTTTCGCGGTCTTATCAAGGTCGTGGTCTATGGCCATCGATTGGGCCAGCTTCCTAAGTAAGTAAAGTCTTGTGGATCAATCACACTGTGGAAATCATACCGAACTAATATCCTTTCCAAGTTGGTAAGGAAGACAAAGGCCCCTTTTATCCATCCAGTACATTCTGAAAAAACGCACAAGTGTCATGAAGCTAGACCTATAGTTTATGTCATGCTCTTCCAAATACCATTCGGAAAATCCTTGAACGATCCTCAGCGTGATATTTTAAAGCCAATATCCATGGTCAATGTTGACAAGTTCTTGCACGAATCTGGAAATCTTTTATTTAGTTAAAATATATAGATTAAAAAAGCAATGTTATAATACTTCTGAAAGTTCAGATGAATTCCACTCAACCGCTCCTTTGTCGATGGGACTTTGTTGGTCGTGACTTTTGGATCCGGTTGGCGGACAAATGCATTCCAGTCCCTAACCTGCTTTGGTGGCTTTGGAGGGCGCATTTTGATTGAGGTGAGCTTAAATTGGAGGTAAAAGGCTTGATTGTGATCTATATAGAGAGGGAGTGTACGATACTTAACCACTGCGAGCAAAAATAATAATAATCAATTAATCATCGCTCATGATAAAGCCGCTTAGCTTAAATAGATATGCAGTAAGATTATGATATTGTACGCTAAACCCAGTTAGATATATAAGGCACTAGTCCTAATACATTCTAGAAAACCGCTTATACGGAATCACCACGGTTATCCCCCAAAATACCACGCATAACTGTGGTCTTTCCGCTGTCCCCCCGGATTACACCATAACCGTGCCATGGGCGCTTGGCACGGTTACAGTAGAGGAATGCACGATCCGTCTGCTGCATTTGATATTTCGTGTTGGATGGCGGACACAATCCGTGTAGCTGCTAGTGGGACCTGTGTTGATGATTACAGGCGGTAACTTGAACACGAGCTCTACTTCCACCTCCGTGCGCTCTACTCTCGAGGAAGCCCTTTCTGTGTACAAGACTCCGAGCTCGATCTTCGAAAGACCTAATTGGATCTTCCATATGGACAGGTCATCACATTAAAACTGCATGATCCTACTGCCATGAGAAAACAGCAACAGTAATCGTGAAAATTCAGCAACTTTTGAAATTGTGCAAGATCGGGCAGTTCTCACGCGAGCACGCAGTTTCCAAGTACTAGACATCTTTAGCCAATATCGGAACTCAGAACAGCTCGACAAAAATCAATATTCGATAATCAATCATCAAGAGCTAGTGTCTAGCTACTGTTCACATTCACTGGGATCACTGTAGATTACCCTATGTGGCACTGAGCATGACGACAAATCATCTCACTAAATTGACATCAAACAACGAAAACGGAGGATGTAGCCAACTTGGTTAAATCAAATTCACATTTTGTTCCAGACTTAATGCTAGCCATAAAAATTTTGACATCCAGTAGGAAAGAGTTTGGTGTGTTAGGAAAAATTGGAATTGGTAAAAAAGGATAAAACAATTCGGAGACGAGCATTGCCATAAATTGCAACGAGCCAATGCAAGACGAGTTCAAATTCGAGTTACTGACTATCTGGCCCTTTTGATCAATCGTTCAGATCGTCCCGGTTCAAGGGAGACGCCGTCAGCATCTGAAAGTTTGCGTTTGGCTGACCATCTGCCATAAGAGCCATGAGGTGATTCACTCGCAATACATTTCGTGGTGCTATGTGGTGTTTCCTGCGTCTGAGATTGATCCGTTATCGAGAAGGTGTCCGGCATACCGCAAACCGGATGGTCATTGTCTTCGTATTTGTTTCGATCAGTTTCTAGCAAAAGGTCAACGAAAAGCATGTTAAGAGCTAAGGGCTATAACATACCCACTTGGCTAGTTTGACCATAGAGAGCAACGGAGTGATCTTCTATCACCTTAAGCGCTCTATCCTTGATTGCTTTATTATCTAAGCGAGGGCAATTCTGCTCAACGATTCGAGGCTCTTCCGGAGCCTCGCAGACTAGCTGCGTAGTAGGGGGTAGAACAGAAACAAAGTTAACGTCTGCACACTCGTGTGCTGAGGCTAGTAAGCTTTCATCGATCAATATCTCCCAGAATTCTGGTGTAGCCATGATCTCAGTGTCGGCATCAGAACCAAGCTGCTCTGCCTCCTTATGGCCACAATCCTCGTCAATATGAATCACTATAGGGTTAGAGGCCGAGCCGAAAGGAGTAGGATCATCTCCAATCACTATAGGATTGGCCTCAGTGCCTAACTCGGAAGAATCGATGAGTTCGTATATGGCCAGTATAGGCCAGTCCGAACGCTCATTGGGGATTGATACTTCGCAATGTTGAGTTAGCAATATCTATAATGCTTCTAGAATATCCCTTACCGAAGGCCTCGCGCGCATTGTTTGTAAAAGAGCTCATACTGACTGGAGCGGGAAGTAGAGGCGGGAAACAAATGCTTAATAATTGATATAGGGTAAGACTAAGGGCTGTGATCAAGATCAAAGATACCTAATCCGATTCTTGACTGTTGCTATCGGAGAAACAGCGTGCGAGATACATGGCTTAATATCTCTCGTCTAGCCGGTTACGCCTTGTTCAGCCTATAGGCTGAAGCGGGCACGTTCGTCCAGGTCTCAACTTCAGACGGCAAGACCCAGCAGGATCGCTTCCAGACGAGGCCTACCTGCCATTCGTCTCAATATCTAACACATATTGCATAGGAATACCGTATGAAGGACCAGCTTATCGTCCATTTGATCCAATAACATCATAAAATGCTACTGCTATTTACGGAGGACTACACTCCTGCTCATCGTCTGCGCCCAGTAACATCGCCACCGTTTCGACTAAGCACTGTTTGCCAGTCGTTCCATGGCTTAGGACAGAAGATGAAACAGAACATCCAGGACGGACCATCACGGAAACTCAAGACACCCTCATCATCAGTCCGCGCGATGTAGATGCTGTGGGAGTAAATCCTATTTTTATATCGGCCCACTTCGCCCTCTATGCCAATCAATCGTGAAGCCAACGAGGATTTCGGTCACAGAGCGCCTTTGGTAAAAGGGGTTGGGACTACGCAGATCTCCGGAATGAGGACGACCGCGACCCCGAGTCATACCACAATGATGATGCTATTCCCGGAGAACTGCAGGTATGCGCATCGTCTGCGCCCAATATCATCACTACTGGATTGATTGAGCTCTGCTCGCCAGTCGTTCCATAACTCGAGACAAAAGACGAAACGCGGAAGAGCGGACCAACATGGAGACACACGCTACCTCCATCTCTAGTCCGCATGACCTATTCCTTGTCCTTCTACCTCGTCCTCTGTGCCAATCGATCATGAACTCAATTGGTTCGGTCACAAGGCGCCTTGATGATACGGATCGAGACGGCGTAGATCTCTAGAATCGACTGCGCGATAGATTGGTGTAGATCGAAGGGACTGGATGTTTCCGCCCGGATTAACGGCGTCGCCTTCACGGCTTTATAGATCTGAACGCCGTGAATATTGTAGTCATCGTTAAAAAAAAAGAAACTGTCCCTGAGTTAATCACTAGGAAATTCACGAATCGCGGCCGAGAAATCCGATCCCTATTATCTTCGGTTCTAAATTGACGCGAGCGCTATCAAGCAAAGTCGACAAGGCTCTCACACGGTATATCGGCACTAAGGCAGATTTGCAGCCCCGCTGTATAGGGACGATATCCTAGAAGAATGTAGGGCGACTGCGCCTGCCTGCGCAGAAGTCAACTACAAACCGGCCGATTGACATCCGAGGCGGTGAGCCTACCGTGTCGCGCAATGAGGGGAAAGGCGGTCTCATCTTAAGCGTACCGGTCGGAGCTGAGGAAGACAGGACCAGACGAGGGCGGGCAACATAGATTGGATTGTATTCGCACGATCGCAGAATAGCCGATAAGTCACATCGAGGGATTAGGGGGTGGCGGAGCTTCGGAGCTCGGTGATCTGGATCAATAGCTGAATCAATAGCATAAATGCCTCACTGCAGAGCACGGATGAAGACGAAGAGAAAGGAGAAGCGAGCGGGCGAAAACCCCCGAAAAGTTGAAGGGGCTATGGGAGGGGTTATATACAACTAGAACCACGCACGGGAACGCACACGGACAAAGAGCGCTAAATCAAAATGATCAAGACTAAACCTAAGATGGTAATTCGCAGTCCCTCTCCGATATGGTGTAGTGGCTAACATCGCCGTCTCTCACACGGCAGCCGGGGGTTCGATTCCCCCTATCGGAGTTTTTTTTTTGTCCCTGCCCTGACATTGGGAGATTCTGGTGTTACTTCTCTAGTACACCTGTCCTCCATTCCCTCGTCTACTGTGACAAACCCTCCAGAGACAGGAGCTCGCTCGATGATGATTGAAAAATCGCGTATTCTTCAGTTCCCTGCGCTATATCCTCCGGTCATAATTTGCAGCCTTTGAGGTCCAACCCTGTACTCTCCGCCTTCAACATCGTGATAGGGGAGTTGCAATCTGGATCCTTGAACATTCCGAAAGATACACAGATGTGACGCGATGCCTATTTGCATTGAGTGTTCCTATCCGGTCTCTCACCTGTACAGCGCCTACAGTCGTGCCGATGACCGGTCCCAAGGAAAGGGTGTGCGACTGACGCAATGCCCACGGTGCCAGCGGTTTGCCGACAAATACGTTGAATATGACTTTGTCGTGCTCTTCATTGACTTGGTGCTTATTAAGCCCCAGGTAAGCATTGCACATGTTCTCCAGGGACGCGACTTGACTGACATATCTCGAACAGGTGTACCGACATCTCCTCTTCAATCGGCTCGGGCGAGACGACAACCAGTTCGATGTGGGTACACTGTCTTAAACAGCTGCGAGCCACTTACTGATTCCGTGACCTTTTAGCGGTCCATCATTCGCCTAGGGATCCTTCTTCTTCTCTTCGACGTCTACCTGACCTGGGCACGCATCGAGAAGGACCCATCCCTCGCAACGACTTTCCTATCGCGCGCCCCGATCATTGTTCAATACCTCTTCTTCCTAAGCTTGAATGCAGCCGCAACTCTCGCACATCACCTCGCCGTGCGCCTCTTGGCCTCAATCCTGGTTCCACAGTCACGCCGATACAGTGGTCCAGACACCGCAGGCAGCAGCAATGCCAACATCAACCCTAGCACAAAATCCACAGTAGATGCTACTTCCTTCTCCTCCGGCCCTCCAACGCCAACTATGCACACCTCGCCATCCGGAGTGACAACCAACCCCCACACCCAAAACCCCGCCAACCCCCCCGCAAATCCACTAGGCCCAACCCAAACACTGAGCTCACATAGTGAGGTCACCTCTCCAACCGACTTATCCCCACCACCGCAAGGTACATTGATGGGACCACCACCCCGACCTCCGCCGCCTCTGCGCCGGGCATCAACAGCCCCGCTGCAGAACATCCAGCCTCTACCCCCTCCAACAGCCGCAAGCCCAGCAGCGATCAGCACCGCGCTGCTAGTCAGCAGCTGCGCAAAGCTCTTTCCCATCCTGCTAGTAATCTGGGGCGCTGACGGCAGCGGAGGTCTCTCTGACATACCAGCGCACAGCCACACAGCAGCACAGATCCGGACCCCGATGCAGGTGGCTACGATAGCGAGCACTGTGCATCAGAGCCTGCTTGCCACACCTATAAAAACTTCCTCTCTCCTCTCTGCGAAAGCGGCTACAGCATCTCCGCCGTTGGCTTCGGTGCGTTCTTCTTCGTTTCTAGAATCGTGGCTGGCTGCCACGGCTTCTACGCTTCGGACTTCTACGCGAACGAGTTATTTGACTGGGCTTTTTGATTTGCTCGCTTCCATGTTTTCTCTTGGTGTTGTTGACACGCAGCTGGTGCTGCTGAGTAATATCGAGGCCTTGTATATCTTACTTGGCTGTGGATATCTGCGCGCTGTCGCAGTTGCTGTTACGGGCCAAATCGCCCGATGGGCGGTGCAGAGGATGATTCTTGGTGCTGTGGGGGTTGGTTAACGGAGCGATCTAGATGAACACTTAAATGCTTGATATAAAATTAGTTCAACCTATCCTCGGGAGTATGTCCATTCCTTAAGTATAAATATTTACATCACAGGATCTAGGTACTTTTCGGAGCGGATATTCATTGGCATATAGTTATCCCCTCTTTGTGCCTACATGTAAACATGCGGTTGGTGGTGTTGGAATAGACAAGTGACCGTAAATAAATAAAAACCCTTGCCATAGAAAAAGAAACCGACCAGATACTAAACAAAACTATATCAAAACAATGTCATACAAAACACTGCCAAAAAAAACCTTTCTAGGGAAAGAGCTATACAAAAGCGTTTAAGTAGCTGCGAACCGACGCAGGTTCGCAATGTAGGCCAACTCCCACAAGCAGACTGGTACCAAGCCTAGGCACGGAGAAAAAAACTTAAGTCTCCATTCCTATCAGATCCACGGCACATTGCAGCGCGGAGTAGAAAAAAAATTGTGTTCATTATATACTATCCCGAAACAGGATAGGACGAGACAAAATGAAAGTTCCACAACCGACAGTCTTCCGAGTTCAGTTGACAGAATTCACGAAGAACGCAAGAAACCAGAAACAGAAATGCCTCTATTGTGGTACGTGTCCAGGTCTGATGTCTGACCGCTTGGGTGCGATGAGGGGATGCCACTGTGAGAGGAAGACGATTGCTATGTTGAATATGTTAGCATCTTATGTAGCCCATGTAGCATAGAGATAGAGAGAGAGAGAGAGAATAGGTCACAAGAACATACCCCACATCAGGTAACAGGAAACGAAGGTAAGGATGAGCGTGCTGCGGAAAAGGCTGAGGAAAGCAGAGTCAGCAATTTCAAACCTGTAACTTTGATAGGAACAGCTGCTGAGATGGATGCCTAGCATGCAAATAGTGACGCATAGACTCACGTCTGGTTATCGCCCTTTGGGCTTAGGAACCATGCTGCTGTCGAGAGGGCGATGATGATAATAAGGCCAATGACCATGCTCCACCTGTTAATTTTATCGTCAGCAACTGTGGTTTTGTATCTTTGTTATGCAGAGTATCAGGAGGTCGAGCCGTGGTGGGATAGATTGAACAATGCCAACACCCGTAACCAGGTTATCATCAACCCATAGATCAAGATAGGTGTAAAATGTTTGTTTCATGGGTCCGAGGAAGGGGAGAACATACCCGTTTGCCATTTCGCAGGTATTTCGTTATTCTCTTCGTTCGTCGGATTAAAGCGCAACCCACAGTAGAGATCACTCGGTGTGTTGTGCGATTTTAGTGTGGGCGAAGAGGGGCGAGCTAGGAAGCAGTGTACAGAGGAGATAAATCGGTTTCTTGATGGTACAATCCTTTGCACTAGTGTTCTTGAATGTCGGGATCTTTTGACGGCACGGTTGGATGGACAGACAATGGATTGCTCGGTGCAGCGTGGCACGATTAGGATCGGCTCGACGGTATTTTCAGTACTTAGTAGAGGCACAAAGTACTTGGAGGTCGTTCTCGGGAAATTTGCAGCTATCAGGTGTGTTGCGAGCTGAAAAAGGCGACCTGGCGAGTGGGAGTGTCTCCATTGATGTCGTAGCTCCTGGAACTGGCATGCCTGAGGCAGAATTGGCGGGCGGTGGATCTCGAGGTCAAGGTCCCAAGTATGATCTATGCAACAGCGAAGGTGACATCTCTGCTCTACGTTTACGATACAATATGGATTTTGTGAGAAATCGATAGGAGGACCGTATTCAAACTCCAAATGTCTAGACTACTTAATGATCTGTTGGGTTGGCAAAGCAGAAGCAAAGCGGCTTACATACAAAACACAAGGCCATGGCTCAGAGTAACAATCAAAATCGAAGCCAGGCAGAAGGATAACAAAAGAAACATGGCATGCAAAATAACGCTTAAGCGCCCTCACGGATCTTGCGGTAGCTAGCCTAAGAAAGATTGGTTAGATGTTGTAGACATGTATGCCGAGCATCACCGAAGACTTACCTCCTGCTCGACCTGCAGCGCATCTACAGTCGGAGCAAGCTCGCTGAGGATTTCATATGACTTCTTGTGGAACTCGAGTTGAGCGGCGATCAGATCAGCCAGGTTGCGCAGGGGCTCTGGAGTATCAAGGACCTGTTGCAAGCGACATTAGTACCACAAGATGAATTTTAGAGCGCCAAAAAATCTCAACCAAAACGTACGTTCTTCATCACGCTCACAGCCTCCTCGGTCTGACCAACGAACTCATCTTCAGCCTGCTCAATCTCTGCGCGGGCATCCTCGCTCAGGTTATCCAGGTCGCCATGGGCACCAGCCTTTTTGCTAGCCTTGATGGAGTCGAGCATCAAGCGGGCGTTCTCAACATTCTTGCGCGCCTTAGCAGCGAACATCAAGTTAGTGTTGAGGGTGGTGTTCCAGCCGGCCAGGAAGCGGGACTGGATCTGAGCATCCTGGGCCAGACGAGCCTCGCCAACCTGCTCCTCGGCGAGGGCATACTTCTCCAATGCAGTTGCAAGCGGGTCCTCACTCTCGGTGCTCTGCGCGAGTGTCTGGGAGCCGGCGAGGGAGGCACGGGCAATCGCGTGGTTGAAAGTCTTGGGTTGGGGCTTTGCGGAAGGCGGGGCTTTCAGGGCAGCTTGTGCCTCGGCAGGAGAGCCTACCTGGGACAGGAGCTGGACCTTCTCGTTGATAGTGCGGCCCAGGTCATTGAAGGATTCGCGGATGTTTGGAGGGTAGTCGTAGGCCTCGTTGGAGTATTGGGAGCTGTTTGGGGAAGGTGGTGCCGGTTAGCGCCTGTGGAGAGAACCACCCGTGGCGCAGAAAGAAACAGGGATTACTCACGTCACCTGCAACAGCTTCTGGTGGACAAGCTTGAGCGCATCGACGCGCTTCTCGAGCTCGATGTATTCATCGGGGAGCTGGGTCTTGTCATCGGCCTGGCCCAGCTGCTCCTTGATCATTTGCTGGGTACGCTGCGCAAAAGGCGTGAAGTTCGCACTGCCCGTCAGAAAACCACAGGGCAAGAAGATGTTAGTAAAGCGACCGATCACAAGCCAACGGAGGCGGAACGGTGTCCGCGGGACAAGGGGACTATGACGGTGGACTCACCTGAGGTTCTTTCCGAATGCCTGCACCCGATCCATGATTGTTATATTTTGAACTTTTGAGTTAGAAAGTAAAAGAAGGAGAGAGTAGCAGGAAATGGATGGGAGTGATGATGGGATATAACCACATGCGCTACTCCGTACGCGGGTCGACCCTGCACCGCCTCACTTGCGCCACATGTCCTGTCGGGCACCCATACAATAGGTTTTTGTTAGTTTTGATCTTTCTTTTCTACCCTTCGACAACAGGACCTACAAATATATGTTAAACTCATGGTTCCTCTTAATAGCGGCCTCCTACGAGTATTTAATGTCAAGTTTTCAACATTGCATGTAGGAGTGATCTTCAATTCACAAAAAAAATACATAAAAACATTCGGCAATCCCAATCCGGAACCCGGAACCACTGGAATCGAACTAAAATCATGGAATCGTAAGTACTGCTTCGAAAGATAAGCACAATGCCAGGATGGAAATCAGATTAAGTCAAAGTTGCCATCATAGCGCGCATGATGCGAGAGTTCGGTTCTAGAGAAGGTTAGAATCATCGAAGCGGTGTAGTGATATGCGGCGTCATACCTGAGCGCTCCTGCCTCCGGATCTCAGTAACCTCCGCCTGATTGCCTCTATCATCAATGATATCTGTATCGCGTTGCCGAGTGATCTCAATCCCACCCTGCCTCTCCAAACGAAGAAGTCTTACCTCTTCCAGATTGCGGGTGTAATCACTTACGTCGTGGTCGCTCTCCCGTGGACGAACAAGAACCATCGGACCCGTCCGAACGGGTTCGGATTCTCGCTCCCCGATGTACTGCACGGCAGACGAGAGACGAGGTCCATGGTCATGGACTGATACAGCTCGTCGCCGGGAGACTCCCCGTACTCGCGGCCTCTCGACAATTTCTTCGTATTGGTCCACATAGTGGCGCGACCGTGACCTATGTCGAGATGGAGATGCTTCCACAATGAATGCCTGACTGGTGCGGGGGGTGGCCTCGACACGCAGGAGTTCTGTTGTCACCCGCTCGCGCGGCCGCTCCATCGGGGGAGGATACGGGGATAAGCCAATGTATTCGGCTGTTCCAAGAAGTCAATTATAACTACTCTTCCTCATAGGGACTTGGGATTGTGCATGCTGGTGCGGATGTCACTCACTTTCCACGGGCGAAGTCCGCCTGAACTCGCGACTCAAGCTAAGCACTTCATCAATCTGTTCCTTCGATAATGCCTTTTGAATGACGATGACATCCTCCTACTTAGGTTAATAACCGACAACAACACCAAGGGGAAAAAAAACACCAACCTCTTCCTTGAACGGATAACCTAGATCCATGATGGCGTGGATATGAGCAAGGTGACGAGGAACACGGGTCTTCCCTTTGCGCGGGTAAGGCTTCTCCTCATGATGTCTGTGAATAGTACTGCTAGAGCGGCGGTGACGATCAATCATACTTCGGTCATAAACATCTCTGAACTCTTCATCACCATAGTAGTCGGGTTCGGCGATCCTAATATCCTCGTAGACTTCTCGCTCGCGATAACGGCCCGGAGATGGATGGTGAAAAGGCGGAGCAACGACAGGTACACGGGGGGCGATGGGGACACGATCCCGGGCCTCAACGTGTTCCATTTTGCGCCGCGGTATGCGGTCAAATGTGTCCAAGGATGACTGCCGCCTAACAAGTTGTGGACGTCGGAATGAAGGACTTTTATCACGGCGCCGACGGCGGTCATGCGCCACAAGAGACATAGCAGGGGATGGGTGGTCTAGATGGTCATCCTCATAGAGTCTTCCGGGTGCGCGCGCAGGGGGGCCATATCGGTCTTCCTCGCAGAGGCGTGCTTCAAAGCGCTCTTCAGCATGGCGGGGTCTTTCGACCACGGGGGGGCCCCGTGAGTATCGATCGTATCGATCGCGAGAGTCCAGGGTCCCTGTTGATGAACGGTAGTCATCATGTCGAGACATTTGGGAGTATCACCGGATTCCACAACAAAAAAAAGAATGTGTGGACCGTGGATGACGCGAGCGGCTGACTTTCGTGCCGAGGGTGGGGGTTTCGGAGGACCACGGGCGAAAGGGACAGCGATGATAGAAAGAGAGAGAGATGCAACACTGGGGGGCGAGAATGAGGAGAAAGGAGTAGAAAGCAGAAATTAGGAATCAGCCTTGGGAGAAAAGAGAATGTCAAAAAAAAGGACAAAAGATAGGTCCAACGTCAGGCAGAAGTCGGTCAATGATGACATTGGGTTGGTCGGATATTGAATGCGGGGAGTTCTTGGATACCAATCTGCGCCACATCTTTCTACGGGCACTACTATGTGATGCTTCTGTATGTTGTGCCTAATGTATGTATGTATTATGCACTATGTAGGTAGGTGCCGGTGCATTGTATACTTCATCCAATCCTAAAGCTCCAAATTTGCAATGTGCTCTTCCAAGATTCCCATAGCCCAATGCGCTCGATCCAACTTGACTGTCACAAATCGACGATCTTCAACCTCTTGCAGCACAGCCTCAGTCTGTGGCGCACAAATTAGCATGGATGTTGTAGGCCAAGGATATCCAATCGAATTGCTTACCTCACGCTCTTGTTTCCTTTCTCGTTCTCGGTCAGTCTCAAATGACCGTTGATAGGGTGGCCCACGACCTTGTTTTGCAGCGACTATCCATGCTTTCTCACAGCCACCTGCGATAGCCTCCGCGCTCTTCCACCCACTTAGGCGAGAGATGTCGCGAAGTTTTGAAATCGTCCAGGTTCGCTGCATGGGATCAGTATATTGCACAGCTGCAAAAAACAGCGGCACCGACATATCAGTCAACGAAGAACCCAAATTCGGACTTAAGCTTCCAGCTTCAAGGTTAAAGCGTTGTGGGTAGTAGACACCTGCCATGATCTTCCCAACAATCTGCGCAAATCCCGCTGTCGTTGGAGCAGAGACTCCAGCTGCCATCATGATGGCCGGTGGCATGGAGGGATGGATTCGATTCAGCAGCAAACGGATGGCATAATAGAAACCCCAGATCACGGCGATGGTATGGGTACGGTACTGGAGGGCGGGGCCGAACGGTGTAGAGACTGGGGGCGCGACATCTGCTGGCAAAGGCTGGAAATCACGGCCCAGCGCTTGCGAGAATATTTCCATCGCGACCAGGATCTCTTCCCATTTTTCTTCGGCTTCCCTGTAACTCATATCATGAGCCGGGTCATCCTCGTCTGGGGATAAACGAGGATCACGCGGTCTATCTTGGAAACCCGAGGGAAGACGCGCAGGTGGTTGAGGGGGTATCATTCCATACATGGGGGGACTTTCGGCCGAGGTCGGCCCAGGGCTAGAAGAAGGAGGCAACTTAGTAGGCCCTGACGTGAAAGGGGTCCTGTTTTCTCCTTTGGGCTGCATGTTAGGCATGCCAGAGGGAGGGCCAGGGGAACCCCCCGGACCGAAGCCACCAGGTGGTCCAGGTGGCCCAGATGGCTCAGGTCTTTGGCCAGGAGGGCCGCCAGCGAACCGACCCATGAATTTGAATATCTCAGGACTGGGCCTCCAGTCCACCCCGCCTGCCTTCAGAGTTCTCAGTTTTCGCTTACGATCACGGAAACCAAAATCTGTGACCCGAGCGAGCAGCAGCCACAGATGATCTGCAGAACCATATATGGCATCCAAACGGCCAATGCCTGCTCGAGGCGGACACTGACCCAATTGAGAGTAAGGCGTTCTGGCTAACCGATCAGCAAATCGTTTCTCTGCTAGCAACCGTAAGTGTAGACTTACAAAAGTTTGTTTCCACCGATAAAACTCTGGAGTGCATCTTGCTTTACATACCACCAGTATAGGTCGCATTGAATCCGGAAAACCTCAATGTCCTTGCGGGTAAAATGCTTTTTGGAGGGTATCGTACTCTCCTCATTGATGGATCCAAAATCGTCGTAACTGACTGCTTGTCCCATAATGGCACCTATGAGATTTTCATCGACGCTATCCTCCTTCTCAGAGAAAGGATCATCCTCAGAGACATCATCAGGCATCCCCCACCATGAGCCTGACCAGCCTGACTGGCGTCGCTGCTCGTGAATCCTACGTCGATGGGCCCGTAGGTCTCTGGTGGTCTTGGCAAAGTCAATCTCCCGGATCAGATGAGTGGACCCACTAAGGTGGTTATTCCATTTTGAGTGGTCGGCAGATATCACCTCGTAGTAGCCCAGTAAAAGAGTGGCAGCCAAGGTACCAGCTTGCTTGCGTCGAAGGGGGAGGCCAACAGCAGTACCCACTCGTTTCAGAGCGTAGTGGTAGTGCTTTAAAGATACTGTCGTGGGAACTTGTTGTAAATATGCAATGTGTAAGCTGCTGATAGCAAGTATTGCCTGGAGCAGGGCTGGATGCTCCAAAGCCTTGAGGGCAAGCGTATAGACCCATAGACCCTGCTGTGCAGATGGGACAGGCGCCCCCAGAATGATTGATGAGTCAGTAGGATGTCGTTCGAATATAGACAATGATGGACCAGTCGAGTGAATGAAGTGAGCGAAGATACGGGCGGTTTTTGGGTTGTTCAGAGGAGAAGAGCCAAGTGTGGGACGATATGAGGCGAGCACATTTGGCTCGTTCAAGTACGTCGTGAAGGAGCGGAGTTGTCGCTCGTCGCTGTTAGCAGAGGCCATGATGAGACTCAACTGGTTGAAGCCTTCGGCCCGCGATTGATCCACCATATCATCGTCCGAGTCCACGTCGTAATAATCCTCGCTTTCATCATCCATGTATATCACTTGTGGTTGATGGGGTATCTGATTGGGTATAAACTGCTTCTGAGGTCGGAATTGCTGCGGTAATTGCCCTGGCGATGCCTGATAATGATATATCGTCGGCAGCGGCTGGGTCATCTAAGAGATCGCAATCAGCACACCAGCTGCGAAAAACAGAGTAATCACGGTAATGCATACCTGAGGAACAGGGTTCATATCGCTTTCTCTGCTTCCCGACATTGGATTGAAAGCTGGCACAGTAGAGAGATTGAAGGCGTATTCTTCAGCAGTCTGACCGATCGGACTAACAATCTGGGGTACATTTTGAACGCTTGCAAGGGGCCTATATAGAGTGCTCGTCTGATGCAATTGAACTGATTGCTGTGCTTGTGAGGAGATAGTTACTTTTGGCGGAACCAGCGGGCTCTCTGTTTGAGCTATCGGCCGATTGTGCCACATATAGGGTTGTGGCTGCACTTGAGCTGCTGGATAATAGAAGCGAGGTGCATCAATCGGTAGTGTTTGAGTCGACGAAGGAATCTGGGACGGGAATGAGTGATATCCCATCGCCACCGGATCAACAGGTCGTGGAGCTAGCATTGGATGCTGAGCAGCGGCTGCTGCTTGTTGGGGAGGGAGCTGAGAGCCATAGTCATTATGAATCGGCACCCTCATATGTTGTTGCTCTATTTGTTGATCCTGGCCGTGGCCAGTACTGAAGGACCCGAAGATGCCTATGGGGTTCTTGAACACAACCCGCTGAGCATATCCCTCGCAGATTCGCTTGGATTTCACGCAGTTGGTGCATATTGGCTTCTCTTCGCCGCACTTGATCCGGCGTTTTCGACAAGCTAAGAGGTTAAGTCAACAAGGGAACCATATAAGTATCCAGCGTTCTGCAACATACTCAAACAGCCGGTCTTAGTTCGTTTCTTGGGGAGTCTGCGGGGACCTGGTGCGGTAGAGGCTTCCGCAACAGTAATATCAGCTGGAATATCCAGCTGATCCGTTGAGTCGTCAGCCATAACTTTGTATTGACTCAAAATTGCAGAGTGGACATATGCGAGGACATTGTGGGGCTAGAAGGCAGACTGATCAGATATGTAAGGAAAAGCTGCCGATCGCAGATCACCGGCGATACTCTGTGGTTTGTCAAAGGGAGATGTGATCACCTACATATTAGCAAAGTCCTCTCTTAAGTGCATAGTGAGACTGCTAAGGGTCCACGGGCATTAAATTTCATAATTACAAAGGCTTACGATGCGCTTAGTGGTGTACGGTGTTAACGCTCTCTTTGTGCCCCAAAACAAAGTCACGTTATAGGCTTTTAGCCGAGATTTACCCCGGACTAGTGCCTGAGGCACAAATGTGTATGTAATCGATAGTAAAATTACCGATAACGAAATTTTGAAAGTTTTTTTTCGGAGTTGCCGTTTTCTCTACTTCAAAGGCATTGGACATTCACAACCAATAGTCTAGAATCAATCATGTTCGCCGTTCCAGGATGGTCAGTTGAGAGCTCTGCTCTGAAGTCACAGACCCAGGCCGTGCAGCCCAAGAACGAGTCCCAACCGGAGAAGGATGCCCCGAACAGCGATGCGAAGAACAACAAGCGCAAGCGTGCTAATGACCGTGTCACTGCGGGCAATGTGGATGAGATGTACCGAAGGCACATCGAGGGTGCTACCAAGGCTGGAAACCGCGGCACAGAAGCTTCCGTAAAGCCAGAGAAGAAGCAGAAGAAGGAAAAGAAGGAGAAGCAAACACCTAAGACAGCCACCACCCAGGAGCCTACAGGTGAAACTGTCACTACTGCCGATTCAGATGCAGATCAAGCCGAGGAGAAAATACCCAAGAAGAAGCAAAGGAAGAACAAGAAGAACAAGGACGGCGACTCAGAGGACAAGACCGAGACAGATGGTGCTACCACTGCCCCGGCTAAAGAAGCTCTTACTCCTGCTCCTGCTGCTCCTGCATTCCCACCCACAGCGAACCTGACTCCACTTCAACAGGCGATGCGACAGAAGCTGGTCTCCTCTCGGTTCCGCCACCTGAACGAAACCCTCTACACCACCCCCTCTGCGAAAGCACTCGAGATGTTCAGTACAAACCCGGAGCTGTTCGACGAGTACCATGCTGGATTCGCGCGACAGGTGAAGGAGTCCTGGCCATCCAACCCGGTCGACGACTACATCAAGACCATCCACACCCGCGGTGCCATCCCACTGCCGAGGCGAGGAAAGCCCCTTGACCCTGCTAAGGGCTACCCGCTTCCCCGTCGTCCAACTGGAGTATGCACATTCGCCGATCTGGGCTGTGGTGATGCACAGCTTGCACGCGCATTGACGCCCTCCGCCAAGAAGCTGAACATCAAGCTCAACAGCTACGATCTGGCAGCCCCCAATCCGCTGATCACTAAAGCAGATATCTCAAATCTCCCCTTGGAAGATGGGGCGGCGGATGTGGCTATTTTCTGTCTGAGTCTAATGGGAACCAACTGGGTTTCTTTTGTCGAGGAAGCATGGCGTATTTTGCGCGGTGACGGCAAGGGCGAGTGTTGGGTCAGTGAGGTCAAAAGTCGATTTGGCAAGGTCCAACGCAAGAAGTCTCAGATCGGTGCGCAGAAGCCCGGCAGTAAGGCGGACAAGAAGAAGCCCAAGAAGAAGGGCGGCGATGATTCCGAGGATGACGCTGATATTTTTGCCGAGGATGTGCGGCCCTCTGACAATACCGACGAGACTGATATCTCGGCGTTTGTGGAGGTATTCCAGTCTCGTGGGTTCATGCTTCGCCGGGAATCTGTGGATAAGTCCAACAAGATGTTTGTGAGAATGGTGTTTGTTAAGCAGGGTGGTGCACCTACCAAGGGGAAACACGCTTCCGCTCTCAGTGTGCCTGCACATGGTAACAAGAAGCGCTTTGTTGACCGTAAGCCTGATTCAGAGTCTGGCATGTCGGCTGAGCAGGAAGCCAAGGTGCTAAAGCCGTGTGTCTATAAGATCCGCTAGACGTTGCAAAGGGTCTTTTTTTGGTGATTGTACATAGCCAAAAATCTACCATGCAGGACCATTAGGTTATTGGACCATCTCTAGGTTGCTAACCACATGGAAATACGATGTAGTTAAGCCAGAATGTAAGCATTGGACGGCATCGTCATTATTTTTTTGTTGCTCCCGAGATAGATACTAGCCTGTAAATCAAGTCCAAGGAGCCCCTTCAAGAGATTTCTTCGACACTACTCGCCCTCATTGGTTGCCACCCAGCTGTGTGACAGCGTGGCCCATCTCCTCATCATTGTAGATACGGAAACCCTTCTCCTTGGTGACACTGGCCAGCTGGACGTTCTTCGAATCAAGCTTCTCCTCCATGACCTGCTTCAGTGTCTTGAGGACTAACATCTCGGCCTCTACCAGAGTCAAAGACTTATGGTATTCATTCTGCAGCTCCGCCTGCGCGCCTTCGCTTCCCGAGCCTATGGCCTTGGCGTCATATCGGTAGAATGTGCCGGATGGTTCAGCGTGGTATCTAGCAAAGAAAAGGAGTCAGCTAATATGAGACAGAAGGAAACTGCGTATCTTACAGTTGGGGCCCGTCCTCATCGTAACCGGCGATTAACAGCGCAACACCAAAAGGCCTACTCATGACACTCTCCTCGTCATCACCGCTCTCACCGAATCGCAGGGCCAAATCGCAAATTGCTTGTGTGGTGCTCTCGACTCGCAGAGGCTCGGCGTAGTGGAACGCGTGATTTTGGCACTCAACGCGGGCGTGCTCAACCAGGTTGCGGGCATCGGCCTGCAGACCGGACATGGCACAGCCGATGTGCTGATCGATTTCGACGATCTTCTCGACAGACGACGCTTCGAGCAGCGTAGATGTAACGCGCTTCTCAACACCAAGGATGACACCCTCGGATGTTGCTACCTAGGTGAGTATTAGAAAGAACAGTCCTGTAATCGCACTATCCTTGATTTTGTGCTCCGATAACAGTACAAAGATCGCTCGCTGTAGTAATTTGAGGCCTTTTTGGAATCGCAGAGCAAAGTTGAACTGAGTGAGAGGTACGACATACTCCGATGGCGGTGGAGCCTAGTTTGATAGCTTCTAGAGAGTATTCGACCTGGAACAAACGACCTTCTGGGGAGAAGGTGCTATGGAGGGAGAATTGTCAGGTTGGAAGTACATCTAGGTATGTGGATTAATCTCGAAGGACGTACTTGATTCCACGGTCTGTGCATAGCTGTTAGTTGATTCCGCGGTGAGGGGAGACCTTGACAAAGCTTACCATATTCTGATCGTGCAATGAACATACTGAATTATCGGATGGGGTGAGAAGACTTGTTAAAAGAAAAAACAAAACAGTTTAGAATCACGATGGAGAAGAAAATCAGTTGAAACGGAAGAGGAGGAGAAGTGGGTGTCTGAGTGAAGCTCGGAAAGGGAAGCTCTCGACGTACGCAAGAGGTGAGGTGCCTGTTGATGCCTTGGTGCCTGAGGCACTACTATGCCCAAACCAAAAGTGGAGTTGTTTGGATGCCTGCATCTTCTCCCCATTTACCTTGGTTCTGCTCTTTTAATTGATGGTTCATCGATTTCGCACCTTTCAATCTCCTATGCTGCATAATTTATTCGTCGCCCTCACGGGATTATGTCTACCAATGACCGTGCTGCGTATATGAGCGCTCCACGACCCCGCGCCGTCTCCAATCGCGTCGTTTCAGAAACTCGCGGACCGCTGTCGCTACAAGTCGAGAACAAGGATCCTTTGCACCACAGCACCTCAAGTCAGAAGCATACAACATCCCGGGATCATAATAGCATGTCCGATAAGCGCGCCGAGCGAATGGTGATCACGTCACGGGAAAAGGCAGTGCGAAGGAACCCTGTGAACCCTGTTAAGGAATCTATCAGTGCAGCCAACAGAGGCGATTGGGATAAAACTCGACCTAGGAAGCCTGTTCAACTTGATGACGTAAACTTCAGTGCCCGAACTGGGGAGAAGCACACGGCTGATTGTGAGTGATCCCTGCGTTAGGGTTTGTCGTGGAATGCAATGGACTTACTGACCACCACCTTTTCCTTTACAGCACCGTGGAACCCCCAAGCGTCATTGATTCCTCGCTCGACAGCTCCTCTCGCATGTCGTGTATCAGTTCCCCCCCTGGCCTCGACGGCCCCACAGGCCCTTCATCCTCGGCCACTTCGAGAGCTCTCACCCGATGCCCAGGAAGCCGCGATCTTGGAGGACTTGTTATTCGTGTTCATGGGGTTTGAAGGTCAATATGTTCACTATGCTAGCTCATACGACCCATCGATCGAGAAAGACCGCCTCACTGGCCCAGTTTTCCAGATAGCCCCGGGGCTGGACCCGACCCTCCGTGATCTCATCCAGTCCATGTTGAAAATGGCGACGCATTACAGTGCCATGGAAGCATTTTTAGAAACACAAAGCCGCGCTGAATGCGGCGCTGTTAGTCACTCACTGTGCGCATCCATTCGCAAGCTCCTCAAAGATTACCTGATACTTATCGCACAGCTGGAAGGCCAGCTACTGAACAATCCTACATTTACCTTGCACCTTCTTCGTCTCCACACAATGCCTACCAGCCAATGCCTAGCCCAGTTATATTCTATGGGCCAGGAACTGTTGCTCAAAAATGGTCTTCTAGATGAGGACCTCGAGGAGTCGATTGACGACTTCGATGAGGATGTTGACAACATACTTGAACAACTTAAAGAAGGAGGAGACTTAGTACCAGGTTCTATGACCCGTAAGAAAATGTGCAAAGGAGGCAATATTCTCGGACTCCTAACGGGGCGCTTGGCTTCGTTTTCAGGTGATCCAATCACGAAGACCCTGCTTCAGACATTACTGCGTGACGCCAGCAGGCCTTACATGGCCATGTTGAATGAGTGGTTGCACCATGGCGGTATCAGGGATCCCCACGCTGAGTTCCTAGTTAAGGAACAAAAATGGATCAAACGCGAGAAACTCGAGGAGGACTACACAGACGAGTATTGGGAGAAACGTTACACGATTCGAGAGAATGAGGTTCCGCCTCAGCTAAAGAGCGTGCAGGACAAAGTTCTGCTGGCTGGAAAGTATCTCAACGTCGTGCGTGAATGTGGTGGCGTCGACGTCAGCAAAGAGGTCAAAGATGTCCCCAAGACGCTCGACGATCCACGCTTCCTGGACAACGTAAATTCCGCCTACACCTATGCCAACGCTTCCTTGTTAAATCTTCTTGTCACGAAAAATTCCCTCACCACCCGATTCCGCTCCCTGAAACACTACTTCTTCCTGGACCGCTCTGATTTCTTTTCGTACTTCCTCGAGCTTGGTGCTTCCGAGCTACGAAAACCAGCACGAGCCGTCAACGAGGGCAAGCTTCAGTCACTACTGGATATTGTCCTTCGACAGCCTGGCAGTGTTGCAGCACTGGACCCGTTCAAGGAAGATGTGAAGGTGCGAATGAACAAGATCGGCCTCACGAAATGGTTGATGCAAGTCGTGAATGTTTCAGGGGTCAACCAAGATGGCGCAGAAGCGGAGAAGCAACAAGCCTCTGCTGTCCATCCCGCCGACGAGGACAAAGACATTCTTGGATTCGATGCGCTTGAACTGGACTACTCAGTTCCGTTCCCGTTGTCACTGGTTATTAGCCGTAAAACAGTCCTACGGTACCAACTTATTTTCCGCCATCTTCTATCGTTGCGCCACCTTGAGGCGTTGCTGGTGACGTCCTGGGCAGACCAGAACAAGACCACCAGCTGGCGGCATAAATCGTCTGATCGACGGCTTGAAATATGGAAACGGCGGGCGTGGAACCTGCGCGCGAAGATGTTAGTCTTTGTTCAGCAGCTTTTGTACTTTTGTACGGCTGAGGTCATTGAACCTAATTGGGTTGGTCTTATGGGTCGTGTCAACAGCGTTCACGCCGATACGTCGGAGGTGGAGGAAAATGATATGAAGCAGGTCAACCGGACGGTTGATGAGCTTATGCAGGATCATGTGGATTTCTTAGATACCTGTTTGAAGGAGTGCATGCTCACACAGGCTAAGCTGTTGAAGGTACGGGTTCTACACACTAGCGGTGGTCTCCATACTTATAACTATGATAGATCCATTCGAAACTGATGACTTGCTGCACCATGTTTGCTTCCTGGACTGCGGCATCACTTTCACGCGCTTTGGCTTCAGCCGATCCCGACTTGGCTGGTGGCAAAGTCCCGGGCGCTGATGCCAGAGGATATGATCCAACTCGGATTGGAAAACTCGAGGACACACTGAAAAGATACGAGGACCATTTCTCGCGCCACCTTCGCATTTTGATGGACAGGTGAGTTACACCCTTGAGAATTCACCTGACTTGATCAAATGTTCTAACTTGACCATACAGCTTAAATTACTTCGCCGCTACGGAAAGTGTGGTGCTCCTGAAGCTTGCACACTCCTTGACCTCCATCAGCCGAGAGGAGAGTAAAGAGGATTGAAAACTTGCAATCCCTTACGTTTGGGTCCTTTACACCTTGATATCATTATCAATGTAATCACCCCCCGAGAGAGATGCGGGTTGCGTGCTCTGGCTATGGGCGCAAGAAGCAAAGGGCTGCAGACCCGTTTGCTAGCTACCGCCTGAAACTCGATGATGCCGAGACATTTGACCTACGACATACGCCACGGACTTGTGATTATGGATCGTCGAATACCGCATCACCGAGCCAGTCACCAGACCCTCCAAAATGGTGTCTAACCGTATCAAGCCTCAACTGTGGGGCCGTGGAAATCCGCCAGATCACTGTACCTAGATCCATGAGCCGAGTCATGCCTGACATCGGAAATTATGATAATACGAGTAGCATATCGGAACGAACCCCATATTTTCAATGTGAAGTGTATGGCCCTAACAAATTCCGAAGAACTGAAGTATACGAATTCCTCGGGATTGCGTCGGCAAGCTTCTCACGTCAACGCCGGATTTGGCCGTATACGACCAAGGTCATTTTAAATATTATTTTGAATCGAATATCTCGGATAATTTGTAAATCCATTACAGAATAACCACTCAGCAGACCCCCAACAAAGCCCTGTATATAATCTACAAAACCGCCACAAATATGCCAATCACCACCCTCACCTCCACTCTACGAATCCCATTCCCACACCCTACCACACCCCCAAGCCGCCTATTCCAGCCATTCGGGCGCGAGATATTCAGCACGAACGAGTCCGTGAAACGGATTGCGGCAGCTGAGGGCCACGGGAAAGGCGGTGATGGCGGTTTGTTCTTATCCGAGTCGGCGTGGGAAAGAAGGGCCTGTTGTTGGACCGCATGTTGCACCGCAGAGACAGTTGACGCAGGTGCCGGATGATGCTGTTATGGAGGTATGCTGTTTGTCGCATATCCCTTTTTGGTCTTTTTTGGTGTTGGAAAGAGAATTTGAGGAGTGACGTGCTACTTACTGAGCCGGTTGAGGTGATAGAAATTCCGCTCTGTGTTGAATACCTTCGCACAAGGGAGTCACCATCTCGTGAAATTCCAAAAAAATCGAAGATGGAACGGCATGCTGCTGGGCTCTTTGTCGCGGATCAAATTCCTGTCTTCGGAATTGCGAAAACTATGCAGCGTGAGATTGCGCATGTTCATTCTGGAAATGACCACTCGGTTCATGTAGTTCTTCCGCCAGCTGATTGTATGCAATTCTCTTCCGTAGTTTGGTGTTTGTGTGATAACTTTGCTTCAGAGGTATCAAGGCTGGTTGGGGCCAGCGTCATGATTTCTCGGGTACATCTGCTATGGCGGTTCTTTCGCTTGGCACGAGGCCTGATATTCCGGCGGAATATCTTTTGATCTATGCGCGCCGCAGACGGAAGCCGACATTGAAGATGTGCCTTCGGTTAATGAGTGGTTTTCGTACTGACATCATGCTTGAAGTAGCACTGGTGATATTCTCAAGTGGATGCACTCTTCTAGTGTATACGTTGTTTTTGGTTTTATCCTGTTCTCTGTTCAGCTTTATATCCCCCATTCTTCGATTTATGGGATTTTTTGGGCCGTTTAAATGAGCATAGAGCAGCGACAGTGTTTCCATAATTCATGATTTATGGCAGATCATGCGAAGAGTTGAGCAATTCAGATCACACCACACCGAGCGTAGACAGTGTGGATGCATTCGTGATCTTGTAGGTATGAAGCAATTGCCTTCATTGTCTATCTACTCACTCAAGCCCATCAGGGACATGTCGCTTCCAAGTTTCATCTTTTGCTACATTTCATGTAGTCTAATCTTTCCGAAGACCCCTCGTGATTTCTCACGTTGGTTTCATTTCGCATACAGTTCCTCCATGTGCATGGTGCAAATGCACAAGGGGCAACTCCGATAATCCTCCGCCTATCCACTTCTGCAGATTAGCAGATACCCATCCAAGGCTTATTGACGTCTGCATTCGAGAAGCTCAAAACTAGCCCTTAATGCAAATCTCTAGGTTCGCTATATGGGTCTGAAATTGAGCCACTAATATCTACTAGAGTCAGTTTCGACCGAGGACGCAGTTGGAATGTCATTTGCCAGAACCCACTCACAACAACGGAAGTAGTGTTGCGAAGCGAGGAGCGTGAAGGAATGCTACTTCATCCATGAACGTTCTGGGGGATATACAATTGTCAGATTGTCATGTCCATGGATTTGTCAGGCGTGAAATCAAACGTCACCACCAGGTGTCGTGTTTTTTGTTTTTTTTTTTTTAATATTTCCACGCCGAGGAATGGGTCATGTCCGCATTTGGCAGGTGAAAAAAAAAGCCAATATCCACCGAGCATATGAGAGTACGGAGTATAGGTGGTGATAATCCTTTGATTCATCTAACCACGTATCATCGTTCTGGACTTGGCTTGGCAGGAGTTCTCAGCCGAGTCAAGAGCCGGTCAACAAGGTTCACATGCTAGGGAATCTTGCCTGGTACCGGCAATAATCGGGGGACTGACCATGTGGCAAATCACTTCATACGTGTTACAGGTATGTTGTACTCTGTAGACAATTTGGAACTAGAAAATCGTCATCACATTTGGAGGCGAGGAAACGTCCAATTTGGAAGCTGAACTAATGTGTTGGGGCCCTGAAGATGTGGAGAATGTGGCTGTGGAAGGTTGAATACGTTAAAGGAAGGAGGTAAAAAGAATCCAAAATTACCCTTTATATCCCCACTTAGATTTCTACCCCCCTTCTTTAGGTTGTAAATAGGGGAGAGTTGAAGTACAGGAATGACATTGACGATCCAAGACTCCCCCGGGTTAAAGCCCAAAAAAAGTCGGGTAGGCGGCTCCCTTACCCGAGGAATGAACCATGGCGCTGGGTGAGCCAACGGCGGAGCCGGACGGGTAAGCCCTGTCAGCCCTGTCGAAATCCCGACAGTATGGAACTTTGTATATTGTCCTGTAGGTTGATTTGTTTCTTTCTTGCTTTGGCTCCAGATAGAAAGCTTTTTGTTTAAACTTGAGAACGTAAGAACTTAATACATTGGTCGGACCACATATTCCACTTAATTGATCCCGGGCTTTATAGGCGCAACCAGAATGACAGTTCCCCACTTTGGAATGTTACCGTGATATAATCATGGTCTGTTAAATGTCATGTAAGAAGTGACCATAGGCACCAGTCTTAGACATCTCTACCCTGCAACTGCAACTGCAACTGTCAGATCCTTGCATTTGAGGTACATTGTCGGTTCGCTTATAGAGTGGGACCCGATCATCTCGGAGAATTGACCCAGGGTGAAGAAAAACTAGGAGTACGTAGGTAACAGGTGGACTGAGAATAAATTCCAACGTGTTTTCTTGGTGGATTCGGAAACTGGAGTGGATACTGCCTAAATTTTTTGGATTTGTAACGTCTGCAATCGCATGCTCAGTACCATCTCTTCTAGATAGTGAATGTCCACATTCACACGGAATGGATGTCTTTCCCGTTGCCCAGCACTCGTCTCAGTATGCAAGTACCATGCTACCAAAGCAAACCCGCATAAGTCAGGCAAATAAGAAAAGTCTTCCGTAAAGGAAGAGGGACAAAACAGGCGGTGTCGATTTATTGCCTCGGGTGTACTTCAGTCAGACGGTTTTTAGTGCAATCTGGAGACAGGCTGAAATGAAAATCCCTGTAGCAAACGAATCTTCTTCACATCCGCCACTCGGGCCAACGTTGGAATCTTGGAACGCAACACTCTTCAGACAAGCGGTGAGAGCGAGAACAAAACAAGAGGGGCAAGAATAAAATCTACCACCCAAAAACCAAAACCACTAGAATCCCGAGGGAAAGGATGCCACAACGAGGAAGTTGCTGATCGTGCCCATCGAACCCCACTCAACTTGAGAGGCTGTTGGAACCAATTTGGTAGTGACACCGAGACTCAACGAGTCGCTTGGCACCCACACAGTACTGCACATTGGCCCGCGGACATGGCCTCAGTGGGCGAGAGTGTTGAAAACCTGTCACCGTGCTGTTGGGTCCAAGTGTTGGTTCTCTTAATGGCTTCATTCCCTCACTTGAGTGACAGCGGGAATCGGCGGTGATCCCTGGTCATGCCTTGGAATCGGCAAGGCAGGGCTTATTTCGTCTGTACAACGTACATACGCAAGGGTTGGTGTGAATTCCAACCCCACGGCTAATTTTCCCTTCTTCTTCAGTCTGCTTTGTCACGGCCAATTCGTCAATCCTTCTTTTCTCCGTATAATGTATTTTGCCGCACAGCGGCTGCGTTGTCGTCGTTTCAACCCCACGGTGAAATGCTGCTCATTTGGTTCATTTCATGTGTGGCTGGCCTTCTTCCCATTCTTCGCTGAGACCTTGTTACATCACTATTCGCTGGTGAAATCCTAGAAACATGTAGAATCATGGTGAGCAGCCCGAGTAAGGCGCGATTCAATTCTCTGTAGACTTGCGCTCTAACCGCTGACGACAGTCGTGAATTACCCATCATGTTTAGCTTTGCAACGATTTCTTGATGGGGGTAGGGAGATCCCAGTCAGATTCAGCGGCGTGGCCGGATTTGTACTCGATCCACACCGTCGGGCGCCCTTGGTCCCTCGAGTAAAGTAGGTACTATGAGACGGCGACCTGTGCATAGGTTTGACGGCACTGCGGCCTGGTTTCAAGTTCATTGGCTTGACTGTAAGCAGCGGACCCAAGTCAAATCTATCCCGATACTCACTCATTCTGGTGTCAATCGCCCGGGATTATTCGTGAACCACTCTTCGGCCACTCAACCGACCCGCATTTTTTTTCCTTGGTCGATTCTTGGTTGATCTGTCAGTGTCGTCGAGTAGCAACAAAAGCCTCCTGCGAAGAGCATCTTAGGCCATCTTAAGTAGTTCCGCTAGCGAGGATGTGAGGGACCGTTTCGGGGTTGGCCCCAAGGAACCACATGAACGATTCGGAGGGGAATTGGGAGTCCGCATTGATCGTATTTGGTTACCACCCACGCAGGCCCCATCCGTGCTAAATCTTCTACCGTTAAGCACCCCTTGTCTTCACAAACTGAATCCTGCATCTGGTGTGATCTTTAAACGAGACGATTCGATTGGGTAAACCGCTTGGCCTACCCCATTCGTACATCTTGGTACGTATAATTGGAAGCCCCTCCATACAGCCTTCGCAAGCAGACATCCAAGGGCGAATGATCCTCGCGCGAGCCGCCATCCTTCCCGAGGGTACCGTCGACGTCTTCAAGCGGCACCCGGCCCCTTCCATGAGAGTACATCAAATTTCACTCTTTTTTCGGATCTTGTGATTGGAAACGAGATCTTGTACTCAGAGAATTCAACCCCGCCCTGGTCAGACAAATCAGGGTATACCAACTCTGATTTTCCTCTTTGTCCACAACAGCACTCGATTCATGGTAACAATGGCGTATGCTAGTTCCCCATGTTGTTCTTTTGGACCAGGCGCAACTGACGTTGATGACCGCCAGGAATCCCGATTCACAAACGATAGAATTAGACCGTCAATATCTCGATACGGTCATAGTTCTGGGCCGGGAGTATCAGAAATATTCGATCGATCATCGCACATACTTTGGACCGGTCGATGAGGTCAAGACGTTCAGGTTTTCGTTGGTGTTTTTTCACTGACAGCAGAACCAGGAAGAAGCACAACGACTCGAAGATGAGCAACAACTTTTCCAGAGAATTTTCGATAATCGTCTGATCTTCCCACCGATCCGTCGGCTGAAAAGAGCTCTTGACTGTGGACATGGATCCGCATCATGGGCTGTCGATGTTGCTGAGCAGAATCCCGATTGTGAGGTAAGATTTTCCTTTGATTGCGCCCGGCATCTCCCTAATATTCGGTGGCTCATAGGTCATCGGCATAGACATTGCCCCCCACATGAGTCCAGACGACATGCCTGACAACCTGTGGCTTCAGGTAAGTCAAACTATCTCACATCTCACCACGGCGGACGGTGTGGTTTACACCATAAGAGGGCTGTAATACTGCCTCTTACCCATGCCTTGTGCTTAATGAACTTTGTGCGATCTGTAAATCTTGAACAACAGTTCCGTTCAGGTGTGTACCCCCTGAACATAGGCGCTGACTTATGCTGAGTAGGTCGATGACTTGAACCGCCGTTTCACCTTTCCTGCAAACCATTTCGATCTTGTCCACTCTAGACTCCTTGCGACCGGCATTAACCGATCCCGATGGCCATCTTATCTTCGTGATATAGTCAGGTGCGAATTCTCCAGAGCAGGCTGACCTTGCTGCCCCTCCAAGAGGCAGGAGCTCTCCAGCCGAAACCCAAAGGCTAACATCGGCGGTTGTCAAGGGTCCTGAAGCCAGGAGGTTGGGCCCAAATGGTGGAAATTTACTTCAATGTTCAATCTGATAATGGTTCAATCACTGATGCCCATGCCTTGAGGAGGTGGAGCACACAATACCTGCGTGCCCTGGAGGACAGAAAAGATCTTCGGGTCGGATCAAAGTTGAGAACTCTTATGGCTGAGGCAGGGTTTGTCGAAGTAGACACGAAGATGATCCCTCTTCCTCTGTCTGCGTGGTCGACTGGTCGGTATCTGGCTGCCCGAAAATAACAAACGAGGCTGATCGATTCGATGCAGATCAACGGATGCGTGACATCGGCCGACACAGTTGTTCAAACGTACAGCAACTTCTCCGATCACTCGCAATATACCCGTTGACTCAACGTCTGCACATGTCCCCAGATACTTTCAATGCTTTGGTGGAGCAAGCGCAGCAAGAGGCAGCAGACCCCACACTGAAGGCATATTTCCCACTGTAGGTATTGTTCCTATATGAAACCGGGAGACAAAGTCTGACAGAGCAGATATGTGTGCATTGGCAGAAAGCCATAAAGGCATCGGTCCGGGCAAATCGGCAGGCGCGATGGCTTGATAGGGGCAACCTCTTGCGAAAAAAAAAGTAGCCCCCAAGCCGATTGGGCCCGTTGTCGATGCCTTTCCTCCTGAATCCCAGAGCATATTGTACAACTTTGCGTTGTTTTACTCTTCACATCCCATTTGCATAAAAACTTTGCATTAGCGGAGAGATGGTTAGTCAAATGAGGCTTTTTGATTGCACCTGTTCTTTGCTTTTGCCGTCTGTAACGCAATGGGCATCCGTATCAATAACCGTCACTGTATTTTTTGCTGAAGTCTAGTTGAGACCCTGGGAATCTCGGGTTGATTCATCGAAAGCGAACTGCATGGTCGCACAGAGAACGAGTGGGACAACTCAACGGCGAGTGGAATCAGAGCATGCTCGTAGGTCACCGTGCTCATCACGGTAACTGCAGAAGACAACATTCCCACATGCATCGATTCTTGGCTTTGAAGAGCCTCGTATTCACTCGAGATGGGTCGTCGATGGGTTACTGCCAATCGCGGTGGGAAAGTCAAGGTTTATTGGATGAAACTCGGAGTCGAGGCATCGCTGTCGCTGACTAGGATAAGTTGAACTTTTAGTTGATTGCTCCTAGACAAAAAGGGAGTGAAACGAAACCGGAGAGGGTTTGAGAGGGACTGAAAGCAGGAGGCTTGGAGGTGCAGATTAAGCTGCTGAGATCATGCCCAGTGCGCGATACCCGACATCGTTGGCCCCCGATCCGACCTTACCCTTTAGAGAAGGATGTTTTCGACCCCATCACGCTCCAAGACTTGTACCTGATCAGCGAAGTGACAAATGATGGAGATGACAGAGGAAGAGAAATCAGGAGGGGGACTTGCCGAATTGACGGGAGAGCCAGGGAACCTCCAACTTTTAGGAACACATGATTTAGAACGGTCTCAGGCGGCATATACGCTTTGACTGACCTCAAAATGCTAATACCAGCTGTTACAAATGTTCATACCAGGTTGACAACTTGACAGCTTCGTGCTGGCAACGCTTTCACGCCTTCACGCGTTCAGAGCAGACTCTATCATGTCAAGAGTGATAGCACCGAGCGGCAGCGAGCTCCCCCAAGGCTCAGTGAGCAGCCACAACGTCCGTTAAACGTTAAGAAACACCCAATCTGGTGTCTTACCGGGTAATACCTGTTCAGCAGGAGCTCTGATAATCAATACATTCTTCACCGCGATTCCCTTACGAATTTGGTACAATCGCAACCTCCAAATCACTAACAACCGGGAGATTACACGAGCAGAGCTCGATATCGGTACCTTGCTAGTGCTGGATTCTTGTTGATTTGTTAATTTTCTTCGCCCTTACTCGGGAAGAGGGCCATGCCGCCTCTTAGTGTCCGATTAGAGTTCCTCCGGAATGCCCCTGTGTGAGAGCGACAGTAGCTCTATTAGTTGCGGTATGTCGATTGCCTACAAGGCCACAGAAACTTCAAATGTATGAGCTACACACTTTCCTATTTATGGGTGGGTTGGGGAGTGGCCTGGAGGCGAGCATTGGGCACAGATTTAGCCGAGAGCCGTACCTATCGCGAGCAGTCCTTCTGATTGGTCTCCCTCAGAGGCTCTGAAGCAAAAACAGCCCTGGAGCGGATATTCAGACTAGACAACTTGTGGATTCGATAAGTATCAATCAATCATGGAAGGTTGGTGCCTGGAAAGCCTATGAACTAGTTACTAGTCTATTTATACACGTGGAAAGAGCTTCATTTGATTCCTGTACGGAAAGCTGAAGATCAAGGTGCCCCTGTTATATGCCGGAAACAATTGGCCCCCAACTTCCACTATTCTTAGCCATTGCTGTGCTTCGTACTTCGTACATGGCGGAAACTAGCATAGAGCTAGCCAAGAGGAAGATGTGCAGGCTTGACCCCGATCTAGATATTGTTGGTGCCTGAAATATAAGACATCAAGACATACCCAATCGGGGAAAGCGGGGAGAAAAAAAGTTGGCGCGGATTTTCATTTGAGCTCCGGAACAGTCGCCAATTCTTTTTTCCTGAGCAAGTCACCACCAACAAGATGCCTTCAACACACAACAAGGAGAAGGCCTGGGATACAGATGATATTGATAAGTGGAAGGTAAGCCAATATACACCACTGCTGTCTTTTTTTTTTTTTCACAATTGAAAAACCCTTACTGACGGATCCTCGCAACAGATCGAAGAATTCAAACCGGAACACAATGCTGCAGGCAGTTTCGCCGAGGAGTCGTCCTTCATGACACTCTTCCCCAAATACCGGGAACAGTACTTGAAGGAAGCATGGCCGGTGGTCACAAGAGCGCTGGAGAAGCAGGGCATCGCCTGCACACTGGATTTGGTTGAGGGTAGCATGACAGTGAAGACAACGCGGAAGACCTACGACCCAGCAGCGATCATTAAATCCCGGGATCTGATCAAACTGCTTGCCCGAAGCGTACCGGTGACACAAGCGATGAAGATTCTCGAAGACGGCGTGGCATGCGACGTGATCAAGATCCGCAACCAGGTGCGGAACAAAGAGCGATTCGTGAAGCGACGACAGCGTATTCTCGGCCCGAACGGTTCAACCCTCAAAGCGCTCGAGCTGCTCACTAGTACATACATTCTGGTCCAGGGTAATACGGTGGCCGTGATGGGACCATTCAAGGGACTGAAGGAGGTGCGACGGATTATCGACGACTGCATGGCGAACATCCACCCAATCTACCACATTAAGGAGTTGATGATCAAGCGCGAGCTCGCCAAGGACCCGACGCTGGCAGAAGAGTCCTGGGACCGGTTCCTGCCTAACTTCAAGAAGCGTACACTGTCCAAGCGCCGTGTGCCGTTCAAGGTCACCGACAAGGAGAAGAAGACGTACACGCCGTTCCCCCCTGCGCCGGAGAAGAGCAAGGTCGATTTGCAGATCGAGTCTGGAGAGTACTTCTTGTCAAAGGAGGCCAAGGAGCGTGTTCACAAGGAGGAGGTCGTCGAGCGACAGCGCCTCAAGCGGGACGAGAAGATGCGTGAGCGCGAGAAGGATTTCGTTGCGCCCGAGGAGGTGACACCAGCCGATCTGGACGAAAAGAAAAAGAAGAAGGAAAAGAAGGAAAAGAAAGAAAAGAAAGAAAAGAAGGAAAAGAAGGAAAAGAGCAAGCGAAAACGCGAGGCCGAGGAGGATGCCGAGGCCGATGAGGCTACCGAGCGCAAAGAGAAGAAGAAAAAGAAGAAGAGCAAGTCCAAGGAAGTTTCTTCCGATGGGGAATGATCTGCTCTTTGGTTGTGGTATCGGTATCTTGTATCGGAATTGGCGCTTCTGGCAGTGCATAGGTCTGGCGTTTAAATGTCTTGTCTCCTGGTTCTTCGTTGCAACGTTGCAACCGTGTACGCCCCAAGCCGGTGTGTACAAAAAAAAACAGTGTTCAATACCAAGATATGATCTATTCTTCTACTCTACGCACACTGTTTTTGAAAATAATGGTAAATTTCTTCACCCATCTAATCAACGATGGCCTGCGTTCAGTATATGTCCACTTCATGTCATTTCCCATTGCAGCCGCGGAATATATACCATAAAAGGAATCAGAGTTACCCCTAAGCCGGCAATGCCTAAAATGTATATCGACACTTGAAAAAGTCAACCCCCCATGACATGTCTGAAGACAGTAGTTCAGACCGCCGCAGAACTCTCCTCATCAGAAGACGATGAGCTAGCATCCAACTGACGCAACTTGTCCGACAAGAATCTCTCCTGCTCTTTCTGGCTCTTCTTTAAATCAACACCCAAGAACAGAATCAAAAAGCTGACAACGCTCAGCCCAAACAAGAAGTAGAATGGCGTCGAGACATTGCCCGATGGAGTCGCATCGATAATTGCACTAGAGACGATGGGACCAATGAAAGACGAGGTTTTGCCGATGATATTGAAGAGACTGAAGAAGAGGAACTCATGGCCACGGGGTGTAACCTCTGAGATCATGATTTGCGAGTAGCTGTACCAAGGGCAGATGAAAAGGCCGTAAAACGCTTGGTAGACCTGCAGGATCAATCCAATTAGATGTCGCTGCTCATATGGCAGAATGGGATTGACATACCCAGACTTCCCATTCATTGTGGAAACCAAACTTGTGGGTCCAGATACCGATCATGCCCCAGCCATCAAGTAGGATGATTCCAATGGCGATGGTGTTGAACATAGTTTTGGTTCCGAGCTGGAAGCGTTGCTGGATTTTCCAAAATGCGTATATACCAACTGCCTGAGAGAGATCTGTCAGTTTAGGAAGAAAATCGCCCAGGAAGTTGAAGCTCACCTGTGCAGCAATACCAACCATAAGAAGGTAGGTCAGTTGTAGGGTATTGTAAGCAACGATGCCATTCTGCAAAGTTCCAATTACAGTTACAGTGGTGTTGAGAGAGTCTCCAAGTAAGAAATAACCTGTTGCCAGCGCCGTTAGCCTCCAAAAATGACCAAACAATAGACACAGTAAAACACAAAGTCTTACCAATCAGATAGATCAGACTCTGCTTTAAATGCCAGATCTGCTTCATTGCATGCCACAAGTGCCACATGCCTGCAACAAAAATAGACCGTTTCCCAGGGTCTTGACCCGGACGGCGTTTCTCAAGAACAAACCACGGAATCGAGACAAGCAACCACACACCAGAGACGAATGCGATTAGCACACTCAGTCCCCAGTTGTTATTGCTGTCACTATCATTGACACGCAACCCGAACATAATTCCCACAATAATCGCCAAAATGAAAATCTCCGCGACGGACTGAACGTAGAAAGCGACATTGGAAAGTTTGCTGCGCATCATAGTATCGGCATAGTCATATTCATCGCGAGTTATCATCCCGGCGGCATAGGCGTCCGCCTTTTCCTTCAATTCAAGGGAATTGCGTGCCAATCCTGGGAACGCAGCAGTCCAGAAAGTAAGTGTGGTCTGATAAGCGATCAAACCGACCATGTACAAACCGACCGCAACATGCCATTTGTCTGGGGTATGGACGCCCAACCAGCCAAAGCCGATGGCGTAGGCAACAATTGACAATCCGATCAAGATGTTGGGTCTCCAGTAACCGAAATCGGCGAAACTGCCGATTACCAGGAATACCACGACTTGGATCGCGAAGGAGATTCCATTTGAAAGGAGCACGATGCTGTTAGACGTGCGAGGTTTGCCTATAAAATCGAGTAGTCCATCGGAAGGGGCTGCTTGGGAGAGCAAGTTTTGAAACGCAGTTGGTGCGAAGTCTAGATTGGGTCAGCTTTCTTCGAAATGCGAATGCAGATCCTGCTTGAGAATGCGGATAGACCCACTGAACAGAGACAAGCCATTATTTCCAATGTAATAGCTGCCATCGTGGTTTTTAGTTTCCGCACAGGGTCATTGCAACGATCCACGCACGCATAATAGGCCCAGATTTCATTTCGGGTGGTGCAGTATCTCTCATCGAATTGATCTGGTGCAACGGGCTGCTCGATCTTGTTTGAGGGAAGAACATCCACTTCCACAGTGGAGAGGACATCGTCTTTGCGATCTCTGTCCATGACTGACGAAGAGAAATTACGGAAGGACCGGAGATTGGAAAGAGAAAAAAATCCAAGCGACGGAATGGGACGAGTTAAATAAACAGCAGAACAAGACCCGCATGTCAGACCCTCGACTTCAGAGGAACCAGTTGCATTGCAATGAAAACGCCGATCTGGATAAAATGGATTTAATCAGACCAGACTATATCGTGTCGGCTCTAGTCGGTGCTTGACTGCATTATCTCGTCCTATCAAATCGTCCGAGTTCTCAGTTTCCGCATTTGGCGTGGTTTTCCAAGTTTGGTGGCGTTTGGTGGCGTTTTTGAAATAGACACCTAATGGCTCAGGCCAAAACTAGGGCATGAAGCAATACGAGTACGAACTGCTGTGAGAAACAGATACTGGTCAGCTGAAATCTGGGTAGCTGGTTGCCACCAATCCAACCAATGAATCGATTGTTTCATCCGGCTTTAGTAAAGGAAGATCGAAGCCAGGGATAGATTGAAACTGATAGGGATGTGCTCTCGAGCTGCTGGCGAACAAGCATTTCTTGTATTGGAGACCATCAGTTGCGAGACTACAAAGCCGTGCTTGAAACTACTCCAGCGTCGGCGTGGGCTTTTGAGGCGCTGGAGCCCTTAACTTTTGAGGCATTGAATGACCTGGTTATCCTATATCTCAACGCCATCTTTATTCCAGAGAACCCCTTCGAACTTGAAGAGCTTGAAAGTGCTGGGATATAGCAGTCTACTTGCTTGGGCGATCGCTTCGTCTTCCTTCAGAAAGGGGCTCCATTTGTCCTCGGTTGACATGTTGAAAATGAAGGTGACGGCCGCTTATGAGGCAAGCTATGGACAACCGCTTAGAATGTGACCTGTATGGAGCCTGCAACTGGTTATTAGGTGAGTTACACCGCTGTTTGGTGTTGAAAAATAAGATCAATGAATGGAGGATAGTGGGGTAGAGAGAGAGGGCCCATAACCTGATCTGGCAACTTGAGAGCAAAGTGGAGAGAAGAATGGATTGAGTTCTCTACAAACAAACAGCTAGTTACCTGTGCAGCTGCTGGATGAAGCCTGGCAAACAAGGCATCCATCTCTATCTCAACAACTTCCCATCTGCAATGGCCATCTTAGGGAGAAAGAACCAATGCGGGCTGTGAGCTGGAGTCTTGATCCCCTTTCTTCTGAGATGTGAGACAGTCGGCCTCGGCTTGGAGACACCAAATTCAGCTCGCCATCGACGATCTCTCCATGTCCAATGTAGTAGAACATATTGAGGTAGTGCTGTTCCCCCCCCGTCACACTCAAATAGTGCGGACGGTGTCAATTTAAATGAATCGGAAGCAGCTTCACCTACTTTTCTCATCGTTCATTCCTGGGATTCTCCATCAGCCCCTGTTGATTTTACATTTTCAGAATGGGTAGAAGTGGTCACAGACTCTTCCTGTCATCCGTTCGTGCTCAGATTTGAGTAGGCTGGATTTAGGAAACGGACACAATGAACAGAATTTAGAAAATTTGCTGGTGACAACACGTTTGTTGCATTATGCAGATCTTTAGTTGCACGCATCCAGAGCGCCTAGCTTTACAGTAATCAGTGGAATTGTAAGAGTACAATGTGGATAGTCCTTAACCATATATGTGCTTTTAGATGGGCTTGTTAAGCCCTGGCTTTAGCAAGCCCCACCCGTAGCACCGAAAGGATACAAACCCCATAACCTTGGAAAGCCCTCACGACCATATCCCTATTCCAACGTTCCCGCGTTCCCTGATAGTTCTCTGTAAGCTGCATTTGAATAGAGCTTTTGGGATTCCCCAAATAAGCGTTGTTTGGGGTCCGGATAGATGACAAGTTTTGCAAGGGGAGTTGTTTGGTGAGAATAAACAAAAAACATGGAAGGGTTGAAACGTGGAGTAAATTCGACTCTTTGTTCTTGTAGAGAGCAAATGCTTGTTGCTCAGATGTAAGAACTTCCCGGTTTTCTCCGATGAACTTCTTCCTTTTCGCCCCAGAACTCAACCGCTCTGTGTATTGAAGTCTGTCATTCTCAATTAATTTGATAGTTACTGTCCATCACTTCCTGATCTGAGCCAGTCATCCTATTCTTTTATTGTTGCAATTTTACCATGTCGCTTTCGCTAGAAAACCAAGGTCCTGTACCTTCCTCGCCTGATGATTAAAAGCGCCACTAGCTCTGAGCTTAGGAATGCCCCCGTCGATATCCCTTCCAGGATCGATAAAGTTGATACTGGACAATGAATACACTGCTTATCCAATGTGCATCCTCCCTAATAATATACCTTCACCCCGAGAACGACACCCACTCTGTTGGCAATGAAGTGTCGAAGCGTGAGTACCGTACCCACTCATTGTTTTAGCAGGTTAACTAGATACTAAATTGCCAAGTTCTGCAGTAGCGGCAAAACTCGGATTTGACAATCTCGGCGATGGTTCCTCCAATTATGGCTGGTTCACTGGTCTCGCCAAAAGCGTACATCGCAACCAACCTACAGGGCACGATCACTTGGGCCTGCCACTCAAGCTGCAGAAGTCGAGGGAACGGGGGATCAACCCGACTAGATTTTGCGGACTCGTGGTATGTGAGATGTGAGTATGCAATGGCAGCGTTGGACCAAGCTATTGGGCATTGGTGCGGACGACGACGCTAGTGATCGGCGTAACAATGGTGAAGTTGTCTTCTCCATTTTCCGAGTGGTGGACCTCGCGAGTGTAAAGCCAAGGGAAGTATCGAGAGAGAATTGCAAACATGACCACGTCGAAGTGAGTGGTTGCAATACAACGACAACTCGGACCTTACGATACTGGAAGGGGTCTCAAATTGTTAGTTACGATACAACGAGCAAGGATAGTTTATAGAAGTGTTATTTTGACAGTGGTAAAGTAGTTCACAAGAGTGAGAAAATTATACATAAAATCAGCCGATCACTGGCTGTCGAACGACAGACTAATGAGTGAGTATCATCCAACCAATCACTCCGAATCGCCCGAGGAAAATGACATTCTTAGAAAGTGAAAGCGAGAGCAAGAGCAGCAACCAGGGCACCGGCAGCAGAGCCGGCAACACGGGTGGCGGAGCTGACGGAGACGCTGGAGGAGGCGGATGCAGAGTCAGAGGAAGAAGAGCCGGAGCCAGATCCAGAGCCCTTGCTGCCACCAGTGGCGGAAGAGGAGAAACCAGTGGCAGTGCGAGAGGCAAATCCGGAAGCGTAGGCGGAGCCAGAAGCGCCCTTGGACATGGGCTTGGTAGAGGGGCGGACACCGGGGGTCACAGATGCGGAGGAAGCACCGACGGGGGAGGATCCAGAGGAGCCAGAGCCAGAGGAGCCAGAGCCAGAGGAGCCAGAGTCAGAGGAGCCAGAGCCAGAGGAACCAGAGCCAGAGGAACCTGAAGAGCTAGAGCCAGAGGAGCCGGTGGCGGAGGCAGAAGCGCCGGAGAGGACACCAGACTTCTCAGCGGTGCCGGCACCAGAGGTGCTGGAGGAAGCGACGGCAGAGCTGGAGGATGTGGAGGCCTTGCAGCTCAGGTCGTACAGAGGGGTCGTGTCGGTGGCGGAACCAGTGACACCGAAGCTAGGGGCGGTAGTACCGGCATCATCGAGAATGTACCACCAGGTGTTGGTGACACCCAGCAGAGGGCAAGCAACTTCGTCCCAGTACTTCTTGGCGTTGGCGACGCTGGCAACAGCGAGGTTCTGGGTGGAGCCGGTAGTGGGCCAACCGGTCTCAGTGATCCAGACCTCCTTTCCGCCGGCGATAGCCTTGGTCCTCTCAACGCCCCTGTTGAAGAGCGCCTTGGCGTCCTCGACGGAGTTGGGGTCGGTGTTCTCATAGTAGGGGTATCCATCGAAACCAAGCCAATCGACGGCCTCGACGACGGCAGAGTTGGAGCCGTTGGTCCATGAGTTCCAGGTGTCAACGTGACCGATGGGGGCACCGCTCAGGGAAGTACCGGAAATGGCGGAGCGGACCTGGTGAATGTAGTCGACAAGCTCAGTGGGTTGAGCACCAAGGCCGGCGTTGGCCTTAACACCGGTGACGGAGTTACGGTAAAGATCCTCACTGCCGACGGAGATACCGACGACCAGGTCTGTGAAGGCATTGCCGTAGGTGGAGATGGCAGTTTTGAGGGCGGCGATCTCGTTGGCCATGTCACCACCGGAAGCCCAGAGACCAAGCAAAAGAGTGGTCTTCTCCTTGATGGCGGCGGGAATGGCCTCAATGGGACCGTTGGTTGTGCCGCCCTGAATCATGGTGTACAGACGAGCACTGGTGAAGGCATTGTCGGTTCCAACAAGATTCTTGGCAGTTGAAAACTCGGTCTCGAAGTCAGCTTGGACCTTGACAGAGCCATCAACCTTAGTAGCACCGTAGTTGAAACCCTGGGAGACGGCCTCGGAGGTAGCGATGGCCATCGCGAGGGCAAGTAATTGAGTGGGACGCATTTTGAACGTGTTTTAACGAGAGTTGAAAGAGTAATTTTCAAGTTGGGGACCTGGAATAAAAGAGTGTAGCCAGGGAAAATATGAAAAGGAAGGATGAGGAGAAAAGTAAAAGTAGAATCGGAAGTGGGAAATGCAAACGGAAGAGAAGTAACCCTCCCAGGCCCTCTAAAAGAACATCAGCAAGGTTGGGCTCTGGGCATGAAAATTCAGTCTAGATTCCGCCACTGTGTAGTTGCGTGGATTTGGTGGGTCGGAACACGTTAGCTTGTCCACTTTTAACCCAAATTTAAAGCCTCCGATTGGTCGAACCGAGAGATGACTGTTTCCAAAAATATGCATGAGAAGTGGGTTCTGATGATTCCATGGAACCCGAGGCTGCGTTTGATGATTTTGCCCGATCTCCCCAGACACTTCCGTTCCGGCTTTGGACGCGAAGCGTATCCACGACCATTCACATTGTGAACCTGAAAAAAAAAAAGTTGACATCCTGTCATTTGATGCATTTGGCGTATATTCAAGGTAGTGGGTCGTCCAAATCTTGGAGTACTCCGTGGGGATGCCCAGAGGAACATGACAGAGACACCCTAGTGGAGATTCGGCATCATTGCATGATTGGGTTCATTTCTAGAGTTCCATCACGGTTTACGGAGTACGGAGTACGGAGTACTAATCTCCCCTATACACAGGTCTATTATTACCCAACCCCTATTAAGCTCTACCCTTCATGGATTGATGATCGGCCGGTAGGGGGCTAGGGGGCACCGTGACGTTGTAGTTTACGGTATATCCCGCGCCTGTGTCGAGTCGTCAAGCAATACGATTGACTTATCGTATTTTACTGGATGCAATTCTGGCGGTATGGAATATCATGGCAGCATTTACACATGACTCCTTACGCGATCTTATCACTTCACCCATCACGTTTCTCGAAATCTCTCATAGTCCGTACCCTCCTTGGCCAAGTTCACCTGGACTGATCATCCCTGCTGTTCAGATGAACCAAAAACAGTTGGTAGTTCACATACATTTTCTGTTTGAGGTCAGCGTAGCTCCATGTTTCACCTGGCAACTTTGGACCTGTCGATCTTGTTGTTTTGAGTGCAAAAGACATTTTAGATGGAGGGGCTAGGTTCCTAATAGGGAAAGAGTTCGCAATGACTATTTATTACCAGCTTTTTCCGGACATTTTGGCGAAAGCACATGATTTTGGAAGCTATGTACTCTGTGTGGAGTACAACATAGAGGATCCATTTGGTACACAGTACGGAGTATGTTGTGCATAGTAGGGCCAAGGACTTTACTCAAGATCGGAAAGTAGCATGGTTTCATGATTATCCCAATCAGAAGCATTCAATTTTGGAATGTTGTCTGTTCCTTTCACTTGTTGATTCGTCTCTCTCTGGACATGGGTGGCATCTACGGAGTACTCCGCACTTCATGCCATCTTCTGAGATGGGGAGATTATTGTTTTGGGTAAAGGGGCCTCAATCTTTACCCCTTACTATCACCCCCAAAGTCCACACTCACACAAGATCCGCACATTAAATCGAGTGACTGATAATCCAATGCCAAATTGCAGTTTATTAACACATGTTATACTCCGTAGACAACTGGGCGCTGCGTATTTTTCATTGCGCTATATTTAGCAACATGTCAGCTATCTGCGATAACCAACTGCAAGTGGGGTAGTTGTCCACGGAACCTTGAAAGGTGTCCTCAGTTCCTTCTCCCTACATAAATCTGAAAGGATGACCATCACAAAGGAAAAGGTTCAAGAGATCTTGAACAAAGCTGCCCTCCGGTATCGAGGCCCCGGAGGTGCCATCGCTGTCGTCCAAGATGGCCATGTCATTGGCCAACGCGTCTGGGGATTCGCTGACCTGGAACAGCGAGTTCCCATGACATCCCAGACGCAACTGCCCATCTGTTCAATTACTAAACAATTTGTGTGTGCGCTATTGATTGATCTGGAGCGCAATCCAACCCCGGCATTAGCTGCAAAGGGTGGTGTCCGGAAACAGCTCTCGGACCATCTCACCGAGATCCTAAGCCCGGAGCTTACTCGCGACGGTGAACTGACGCTTGAACGGCTTTGCGACATGCAATCCGGCATGCGCGACTACTGGGCTATGACCGCATTGTGGGGCTCCAAGCCCGACGACGAGTTTCTGATAGCCAGAGACTGCGGTCCACTACTTGCCCGAACCAAGTCATTCCACTTCCAGCCGGGAACGGAATTTTCTTACTGCAATGTCAACTTCCACGTACTTGCCCGAGTGATTGAACGAGCGACTGGAGAGTCTCTTGATAAATTGCTCGAAGACAGAATACTCCGACCGGCTGGTATGAGCACGGCATTCCTTTGTCCCAACACCGCACATCACCCACCGCCGTGTGTCGGGTATGAGGGCACCGAGCAGCATGGTTTTACAGCGGCCGTTAACAGAATGGAGTGGTCGGGCGATGCTGGATTAGTGGCTTCACTCACTGATATGATCGCGTACGAAAAGTATCTCGATCACTGCTACGCTGATCCACAAAGCTGGTACCACACCGCTATAGTTCCTCCGAAATTCAAAGACGGTACTCCTGCAAAGTATCGTTATGGGCTAAGTCACACTGACATTGACGGTGTGAACACGATCGGACATGGTGGAGCGTTGCGAGGGTATCGACTGCACCGGCGGCACGCACCACACGAGCGCTTGTCCGTCGTCGTAATGTTTAACAGTGACTCTGACGCATTCGGCCCCAACATTGATATCTTCCGAGACCTCTTGGAATTACCCAAGCCTGTGACAGCGTCCGTCCAGGCTACCGCGGACTGGGTCGGCGCGTTTCTTGATCAGGATACCCAATTGTCGATCGTCATCACCAAGGGCGCACAGGATGGAGAGGTAGCCATTACCTATGACGGCTCTGCCGATACTATCAAGCTTAGTACACCGAACCATGGGAGGTCTAACTCGGCCGTCGCAACAGTTGATGGAGATTCCTTGAGTATTCATCGTGTGGGAGATAACCGGATACTCAGTGCTCGGCGTATTGCCCCGAAAGAGTCAATCCTTCGAGATAATTCATTCCAGGGTGTCTACCACTGTACTGAGATTGAATCTACCTTCCACTGCAATGGCGAGGATGGCATGCTCTACGGTGCATTTGATGGATATCTGGGCCAAGGACATGCAACTCCCATGAAATATCTGGGAGATGATGTCTGGGTCTTGACTTGTCCACGTGGTTTGGATGCCCCAGCTCCGGGAGATTGGACCATTGTCTTTTCTCGGGATGAGCACAATGTAATTCAAGGGTTTACGATTGGTTGCTGGTTGGCCAGGAAGGTTGACTTTGTGAAGAAAGTTTGATGCTTCAATTCTACTCTGCAGAGAAACGATATAAAGCGAGTTATGACCAAAAAGGGAGGAATTGCGCAGCAAGTCTGAAATTGTTGGAAAGTTCTTTTTCCATTCCATGGAGTGGACATCTCGCATACTTGAATAAAGAAGAGGTGTCGCCGGCTTATTCAGGGGTTCTCATCCCTTTACCTTGCAATCAAGTAAAAGCACTATTTCACCGTGAGCGGTCAAATAGGCACATCCGACTCTCAGTTCTTTCATGTAGTGGGCCACTTGACCTATATTCTGTTAGATTCTTGAATTTCAGGCACAAAAAGGTAAAATCCCCAAGAGCCTTGTGGCATTTCCTCTGGGGAGAGAAAAGAAAATCGGCAATGAATTGAAGAAGTCGTGAAATTCGACCCAGTCGACCTTTACCTTCCCAGGAAGATTTTTTACTTCGCTATGGCTCGCGCTCGCCAGTTTTTTTGCAATCCCCTGTGTGCGTGAGGGAATTGCACACATGAAGTCTGCGAAGCAGAGATCCAACTGCTCGGATGAGAAGCACTCCCAAGACCTGTCCAACACGCTCTTGTAGACGACGATGAACTCCCTGTTCATCCTCAACAAGATAATGCTCTGAGAAGCCCGTCACTTTGGGGCCAAGCTAGTCCGCAGCTTTGCTGAAGGTCCTCAATACCCCTTGCAGCTGCAACTTCGCCATCGCCGGTAATTGAATTAATAGCTCGTGTGTTCCCATATGGCCTACCTCGAAAGGCTCATCACGCATCACGTTGTGCTGGGGCATGGGGCTGGTCCTAGTGGCTGCTCGCATTGCCTATGCTAGCAACTCTACCATACACAGCGCCCCGATTTGTTTGGTTAGTGCCAAAGTTCTTGTTCCACAATCGAGAGGTGTATACTGTCAATGCCGCGATGTTGATGATGAGCGATTCACCAATTAACCAGCTGTAGCTGCCACTGCGGCTTTTCCACGACTTCCATGTTTTCAGTGCTTGTGAATCCAATCGCCCAGATGCTACCCTTGCCGCATCTTTTGGCTGCGGGCTATGTTAACGCGTTAGATGTGTTTTTTTCGTGGGCTATAAGGCAGGAGCAACGACACCATGGAAAGAGTTGTGAGAAGTCAAGATAGGTTCGTAAAGGCATATAGAAGGGGACATAAGAAAAGAAGATAGTAAGGGTTGCAGAAGAAGAAAAGAGAGTAAGCGAAGTAGAAGAGTTTAAGTCGCATATTTCTCGGATGTACATGCTAGCCACTTTACAATATCAAAGGAATTGAGGGAAATGAGGCAGGGAGTAAGAGAAGAAACCATGAAAGACCTGATTAATATGTTAAAGATCAGCTTGAGACCCAAGTGGAAGGCAGTTCAGAGAGATTTAGCATCTGATTCATGGCCAGACGAATTTTCAGCATGACTGTTTAGGCTTGACTCAACAAAGTTGGATCTTCGAGCTATTGGGGCTGTTGGCCTTTCCTAATACCAGGCGACTTCTTCCTTTTGTTGGAAACCGGATTCCTCGTGGATTTCCATTAGCCATAGGCCAGATTGAGCTGAGCTTGGGTGAGAGCTAACCGGATCAAGATTATCATGACTATTTGATCCTCTACGATGACTAGTTGAATGCCCCTTGCAACTAATTGTGTGTCCAGAAACAGCCGTCATGTGGATGTGACCTTCGGTTTACATACATGGAAATTCTTCTGTTGGTTATTTCGCCATAGGAAAAAGAACCACTAGGCGACGGCTCAATTTGCGCATGGCTGTAGGACGTCCATCTTTCATTGTACGGGGTGGTGTTTGAGACAAGAGGGGTCATCTGTCAGCGTTTGCCTCATGCAACTGAGATCGCAGGCTACATGGTGACAAGCTAATCGCTATTAGCGTACTCTGTGCAGTAACTGTCTTGTGGGTTGAGAGAGACTAACAGGCAGATCTGCAGGCGAGGGGAATCCTCGTTGCGATGCCGAAAAACCAACGGTCGGTTTCTTGTGGTACAGGGGGCGGAGATTATAGTGAATGATGTAGCCCATGAGCTGGATGAGGCTTCTTGGAATTGGGGGCACTAATTTTTGTAGATGGCAGAGCTTGAGATGAGAGAGGACGCACACGGGGAAGATAAAGAAGAAAACTCTCGTCGCAAAAGGATTCATCGCACTGATATACGTAGAAAACCAAACCCACAGCGTCATATCCATGTTCACTGCCACGGAAAATATATACAATTTCGACACAGAACAAAACGGCTGTGTGCTTAATGCTCAGAAACAAAGATACCAGCCATACCCATGCCCTATTTGAAGAAATTAGCATATCCTAATACTGAAATTATGACAATCGGAGGTAACTTACAGTGCCCACACACATTGAAGTCACGGCGATTCGCTTATCCTGTCGACGAAGCTCAGACAGAGCAGTGACGGCCTGGCGTGCACCAGTGGCGCCGAGAGGGTGACCAAAAGCACTTTGTAGCATCAGCATGTTATCAATCAAATTTGTTCGAGGATCACTTACATAGCACCACCACGTGGGTTCACCTTGGATTCATCCAAGCCCAGCTTGTTGACGCAGTAAACACCCTGCAAAGGCGTATGTCAGTCTTGGAATGTACATGGCCCCAGAACCACATAATTGGTAGACATACCATTGAGGAAAAGGCCTCATTAATCTCGAAAATATCTATATCGTCCTTACTCAAATTGAACTTGTTCAAGATCTTAGGGATGGCAAGGGATGGGCCAATACCCATGATTCTAGGCTCCAGGCCAGAAATAGTTGCACCACAGAATTTAGCAACAATGGGTTGACCGAGCTCCTGGGCGCGCGAGCGCTTCATGAGAACCAGCGCCGCAGCGCCATCGGTAATTTGACTGGCGTTGCCGCCGGTGGTGGCACTAGGCGCCCACTGGGGGAAGGCAGCGCGGATCTTGCCGAGGGACTCGGCGGTAGTCCCGTAGCGGATGCCGTCGTCACGATCGACAACGATATCCTTAACCTCGCCAGTTTTGGGGTCCTTGATTTGAGTCTTGACAGGGACGATTTCATCATCGAGCCAGCCGGCCTTCTGGGCGTGCTCAGCCTTCTGGAAACTGTTGGCAGCAAACCTGTCGTGCTGCTCGCGCGTGATGTTAAATTGGTTAGCTACATTCTCTGAGGTCTGTCCCATGGGCTGGACATTCTGGGATGCGATCGGGTGCTTGGTGATGCGCTCGGACATTTCGGGAGCGCCGCCGTCGGCGTTCTTGCTCATGCTCTCGGCTCCAACGGCCACTCCGACATCGATAGACCCGGCAATGATTTGGTTGGCGATGTTCTGCACAGCCAGAAGACCGGAGGAGCAGAATCGGTTGGCGACGGAAGCGGCTGCTGTTACGGGGTAGCCTGCTGCCAGCACGGCGGAGCGGGCGACATATGCTGAACCGGGGCAGAGGACGTTACCAATGCAGACATCTTCAACAAGGTTGGGGTCCAGCTTCGACTTCTCGCGGACGGTCTGTTTACTAAATTAACTGCCGTGCTTTTTCCGCTAATAATGGTGGGAAAAAGTACCGTGAGGAGTGAGATGAGAAGGTCATCCACGCTGGTGTCCTTCAATCCACCCTTGCGGGCCTTGGTGAGCGGCGTGCGGGCCAGGTAAGTGATAACCTACATATTGATTAATCACTATAATGAAGGTTTTGGAGCTTTAGGAACATACAATGTCATCTGGTTTCTTGGCCAGAAGCTTTTGCCGAGCCGAGCCAGGAGCTGCCAGCTGGTTGGCAACGGAGCTTAGACGTTGCTGTGGTGAAGACATTGTAAAGAATCCAGACGAATTAAGACTTTCAAACAGAAAGAAGGCCGACCGGTTTAAAATCCGATCTATTTCAACGAGATGAAAAAAAGAACCGCGGCTTCTCCAAACCTCTCCACTCCGAGCCGAGTACTCTTTTGGGACTGTGGACAATCTGAGCCGACTGGAAGTGCCGGGCCTCCGAGTCACCCCATTGTATGATACCGTAATTTGGCGTTCCTCGGCAGGTAGTATGAGACCATCATTGGTGAAAACATGGTATCAGGGACGTTTTGTAGCCCCACATGTACTTTTGGCCTTGATCATGAACGGAGTAGATTGAAGAAAGACATGGAGAAGGTGAGAATGTTCTGCTGTCTTGAGGACTGTATAAAAAATTAAGAACCCGAAGCCCTGGAATAACTCTTGACCGAACCCGGGGAAAGCTCAGCCAAGCCTTCTTTCGGGAGCAAGATAGGGGAGTTTCCCGCAGACCCTACTGCTATTTTGGTCAATGTCAAGCACCGTAAGATTGACACTGTCATGAACGGCAGATCGAGTCTAGCTAGCTTCCGTCATCAGAGCTCCGAGGCCTGGGGATCTTTATATCCGTCTCCATGCCTTCTGAAAGCTTCAGAACTTCCGCGAAAACAGACGAGACTTCCTTTATTGCACAAGAATTGCTCAAAATATTGACACATTAGCTTGAATTGACGAGAAGTACTTGACTGGAAAGGAACCTGCCTTTTCTATCATAATGGAAGTGTTCTCTGAACTCAGCACGCCCGCTGTGGCCATGGCATCCGCCTTGTCAGTGGCTGTCGGTGCTTATCTGAATGCGAAGCTTGCCATCGCCACTGATTTGCGAACAATCTACAGCAATAAGGCCTTTGCAAAGCGGTTAAATGAGCGCATCGCTCAGCTTGATGGCTCAACAACAATCTATAAGATGCTCGAGCGGGCGGTAGAGGTTGAAGGACGAGCTGCCACCGATGCGCTTTGGTTTGAGCAGAAGACGTGGTCATACAGCCAACTGAAGGACTGTGAGTGTTGTCTCTCTATTGGTAGACAAAAATGCATCTGATTGTTAATGCACCTGTCTGCAGTGGCCGACAGAATGGCTGCTCTTTTGAAGAGTCGTGATATCAACTCCGGAGATACAGTGGGTGTTTTTACAACCAACTCACCGGAGATGGTCGTGACTGTGTATGCTCTATCAAAACTAGGTGCTGTGGCAGCAATGATCAACACCAACCTACGAGGTTTGTTCATTATCTAATTCCAGTCCCACGCGAATTGACCGCTGACACCGGTCACAGACGATACTTTTATCCATTGTCTCAACGTCTCCGACTCCAAATTAATCATCTCAACCGCTGATATTTCTCAGCACGCCTGCACTGACCTACCGCATTTCACACTCAGCGTGGCGTCGTTCCAAGGTGCCGAAACAGGCGCAACCGAGCTCATCACACTGGAAGACCTGCAGCAATTCTCCCCATCAGGACTTGCAGCGGCTAAGCGCAGCCCAAAAGACATATGCATCTTAATCTACACATCAGGAACAACCGGAAGACCTAAAGCCTGCGCGATCCGCAACATGCTCACCCTAATCACCTCCACCCCGCTCTCAGCAGACGCCAATAATCCTTCAAAGTACCACCCATTCCGCGTATACTCCCCCCTCCCCCTCTTCCACGGCACGGCCTTCCTCACAGGTCTATGTACAGCCATCGGCAACGGAGGTACCTTATGCCTAGGACGAAAATTCTCTGCCTCCCGGTTCTGGAAAGATGTACATGACTCAGGCGCAACCCGCATCCTGTATATCGGCGAGGTATGCCGATATCTTCTTGCCACGCCGCCATCACCCTTTGACCAGGACCACAAGTGCATCGTGGCAAGTGGGAACGGGCTACGTGGGGAGATCTGGGAGAAGTTCCGCAAGCGCTTCAATGTTCCCGAAATCCGCGAATTTTACCGCTCAACTGAGGGAGTTGCCAAATTTGATAACCATGGCGTTGGAGCTTGGGGAGCGGGTAAGGTCGGATTTTCTGGGCCTATCCGCCGGTTCTTGGAAGATGATACTTTCATCGTCAAGTATGATACCGATACTGAGATGCCGTACCGGGATCCAGTCACTGGGTTCTGTGTGAGGGCTACGCTTGGACAGGAGGGTGAGGCAATTGGTCGCGTCCGGGACCGTGGGATGCTGATTGAGTATCTGGGTAATGAGGGTGCGACGGAAGAAAAGCTTCTGCGTGATGTGTTCCAGAAAGGGGATTTGTTCCAGCGGACTGGTGATCTGGTTGTTCAAGATGAATCTGGGTGGGTGAGGTTCCAGGATAGGGTTGGTGACACTTTCCGCTGGAAGGGTGAGAACGTTAGTGCAGGGGAGATTCGAGACCATATTTGTCAGATTGAGGGTGTGCATGATGCTGTGGTTTATGGTGTGAAGCTGGCCGGGTATGTATTGTGGTTGTGTTGTTTTTCTTTGTTTCGTGAGATTGCATTGCTAATGGTCCCTACTAGGTATGATGGTCAAGCTGGAGCTGCTGGCATTACGCTGGAATCACCAGCAGCTGAGACAGAATTGATGTCGACCTTATACAAGGAACTCAAGAAGAAGGGCGTTCCTTCATATGCTCTGCCCCGATTGGTCCGACTCACCGAAAAGTAGGCATTTCCTTGATTGCAATCATTTGGCCGGGCCGCTAATCAAATCACAAGCTACAGGGTTGCCACGGGTGTCACTTTCAAACAGGCTAAGGGCGACCTAGCGAAGAAGGGCTGGAATCCTCGCCAGGACTGCGGCGGTGACATTTTGTACTGGTTGAACGGCACAAATTATCAGAAATTGGAAGAACAAAGTTGGGCAGAGATAGAGAGTGGTAAAGCCAAGATCTGAGCCATTCCTTTTCATTGCAGTCAACGACTGCCCCTCTTGATTTAGTAAGCATACAGATATCCGAAGACTCAGATTTATCAGAAACCACATGCCGGCAACAGAGATAATACACACGTGTGTGTTTGTACTAGGCCAGACAATAAACTCACCCGGTCGATGTATATGTGCTGATAAGGTTATGGGAGGTGGGTCCATCAAAGTGGACCCAAACATGGTAGCAAAATGTGGGCGGGGGAGGGGGGATTTCCTATACTCTGGATATCGGTACGTTTCCTAATTTAAGGTGTGCAAAATTCGGAGTAGCCCTGGGTTTGGCATTTGAATATGCACCACCACCAAGAGTACTGTGGATAAGCCTAGCCATAACCATGGTACACGTTACAATGGATTTAACATCGAAATTGGCAACGGCGCAACGTCTCACAATGTCACTGGCGGCTGACTTAGCGCCGGCTTCTCATGTCATAGAAATTAAAGGAATTTGTTTTCTTTTGGCACCAAATCATACAACAAGAACATGTGATTCTAAGTAAATGTCCCCGAAGCTGTATGATCTGGTTTGATAAACTGATATTGCAGAAAGAAAGAAGGAAGAAAAAGGGATTCCCAGCAGCACACGGACTCTCAAACCATCAGACTACTAGCTTTGGCCCCATTGGAAATATAGCAGAATGTGTGCCTCGTACATAAGAGGTTTGAAGTTGTTCTTAGCTACTACAATACTCAGGCCATGCTAGGATGAACCTTTATACAAATCCCGACAATGAGACAGATCAAGACCCGCCATAGTAGGATGGAGGCTCCTTCTTAATAGGCACCAAGACTTGATTTCATTTGTTCTTGTATTGGTCTCCAAAACTTGTCTCGCACAACTTCTATAGATGCAGCCTCGGCACAGCCACCTTGGGCTGCTGTTGGTAGGATACCCCAAGATCACCGTCTTCTAGCCTTTTATATTTCTACGGATTTTACAAGCAGAGAATTGCCGTGTCGCGAATCAGAAATCGTTCAAGACTCAGATGGAATCAATCAAATGTCTCTTTCGTTTTTTACAACATCACTGGCTCATCATGCCAAAACCGCACACTCTTCCAGATACAGAAGAGAATATCTACGTGGGAATAACGAAATGATTTGTGAGCAGCATGACAACCGAACCCAATAATTGACAAATGTGGCTCACCATCACTGTTATCATACCTACTAGTGCAGGCTCTAGATGATGTAAAACATCACCTGCTCGAGGCCTTATCTCCAACCTACCCACCTCAGCTATTTGCTCAGGGTATCATAGTCGGAGATGACTAATTCTGGGCAAAACACAACATCCGGATATCTTTTCGGATCATCATCTATATCTCCGCGACATTGTTAATCCATGGCTGGTTTGTTGGCTTTTGAAGTACCCCACATGGCCGTTATTGGTGTGAATTTCGAATTGGAATGTCTGAGTGATATGGCAAGCTCAACAACTAATTAAGACGGCTTCTCCAAGCATGCAATCATTGTGCCTTCAAGAATAAGATGATGGATAAAAAAGGGTGTGCTTGACATCCGAGGTCGGATGTCGATCACCGATAAGGAACTGGAGTATAGTGGGTCAGATCAACTCCCCACCTATGTTGTAGTTGTAGCATGGGATGGATGTTCTCAGTAAAAATAGATGGACCTGAAAACTCGAATCAATAACCTACTTCTAATGATAGTAGGGATTCTTCCTTTCAGCCACACCCTGCAGGTACACGGGGGCGTAGAACCATAGGGCGACAGAAACGGTATCGATCTGCCCCTGGGATCACGTGTGGAGGCGTCATCAAGTGACTTCTCTTTCTCCTCACCCCAACTTCTATCTTCGCCTCTTCAACCCCACACCTTGTTTGAGCTTAAACCACTCTTTTCGTGATTTTCTACTGCAAATACCTGGGAAATCTACCATCTGCGTCTATTTTCCCGACAGAGTTACAATCATCAGAGCTATGAAGTTCTTATCAGCCGCCAGCCTCTTGGTTCTTACCGCCCCTCTTGCAAACGCAGCCGCATTCTCGATCTTCGATCCTACGCAGGCTTCCTTGAAGGTGATCGATAATGAGAAGTACCCGGTCAAGGGTGAAAACCCCTTGCAGTACTGTGCCAAACCAGACAATTATAAGCTCGAGATCGAGTCGGTGGATTTGGCTCCCAACCCGCCTCAACCGTATGTCATTCACCAAGACTGTTCTCGAAATTTAATAAAATTCACACGCTAACATCTTGGTGGTGATAGAGGACAGAAGTTGACAATCTCCGCCAAAGGTACCCTGCTCGAAAGAGTCGAGAAGGGCGCTACCGTGAACTTAGAAGTGAAGTGGGGTCTCATCACTTTGATCAAGCAGACCGTCGACCTATGCGATGAGATTAAGAACGTGGACCTGGAGTGCCCGCTTGAAAAGGGCGAGATGATTCTGACAAAGGAGGTGGAATTGCCCAAGCAAATCCCACCGGTATGTTGTGTTTATAATCGCTTTAGAGCTAAGAAAGCTGCTAATGTGATTTTTTTTCATAGGGCAAATACTCCGTTCTTGCTGATGTTTACAATAAGGAGCAGATGCAGGTCACTTGCCTCAAGGCGGAAGACATTGTGTTTCACCTCTAATCCTGTCTAAGATAGACATTGCTTTGCATCCACTCACCAGGTGGCATCTCTCGATTTGCTAACTAGGGTCATTAGCTTATGTGCTTGACCTCGGGGGCCAAACATCCGCAATGCTCTTTTCCATGCCCTTCTCATGACTATCAAATATTCGCATCTGTTGTTTCACGTTCTATAATGCTTTGCAGTATATTCGGATATCATTTGGACTTTATCATTCTTACGCTCTTTGCATCTGTTGTATTTCTTTGCAATCGCCTGTAAAGACCTTTCAAGTACGACTGCACACTTGATGGCTACATCTGCCTGTGGCTACAATATACGATCACGTCCTCTCTATCAACCACGCAACGTACGTTGTATCAATTCTCTATAGCTCCGAAGAGAATTTATGCAAAGGACATACGAACTCGTTCCAGATGCGTTGGGTATCTTCCCTATCTGGTTTTTCCATAATTTCTTCCCGATTAGACTCAAGCGCCGAAACCATCGCTGATGGGGCCGCAGGTGTTGTAAAAACACTGTAGGCAGAACGACGAAACCAATTCGCCATTTGCCGGCTGAATGACAAAGACAAAGACTCACGTACACAAGCCTACTCTCCAAACAGGCGGCGGACACGCTTGAGAACACTGTCTTTCTCCGGGTCATATGGGTGGTCTTTGCTGGGAATTTCGAGGACAGCTGGGAAAGGATCGGCGAAAGCGTCGACGATGTGGCGGATGCGTTCTGCGATCTGAGGTTGAGGCACCCGTTAGAGAACCTGTAGGCAATGACATGGGAGCGCTGCAACTGTTTGACGCAGAATATAGAAAATCAACTCACATGCTGGTTAATCAAGAGCACGGCGATGTCTTTCCTCTCCTGAGTGAAGCTCTGGAAGGCCCGTTCGATCTCTGAGGTCTCGGTCTTGGAATCAACGACAAGGAAGTTTCTCTGCGAAGCTGGTGGTTCGGTAACATGCTGTATAAGGAGCCAGCAAGTTAGAATAGCTTGCAAGGTATATACTATAGAGACGTCAAGTTGATTGAGTAGTGAATAGTATCATACCCCGATGCCTGCAAGCAGAAGACCAGTGACGGAGCTGCATATTAGATCGAGCTAGGTTAGCCGGGCAGAGACTTTTCAAGAGTGTGCAATTTGAAAGAAGGGTCTTTACTCTTCATCACCAATGACAGCAAGGAATTGCCGCTCCTGGGGTACCGAGTTAGCGATCTGAGGGGTCATTCCATTGACTCGATGTCAAGTACCTTGTATGTTGCGGCCGATGCCGCCATGATGAGGAGGAAAAGAAAGAGAACTGGCTGATGTTTCTGAGATACACAATCTTCGAACTGGCAGCTCGAAATGGATCAAGTAAATGTCAGATTTGGTCAAGCTGTCGGTTGATCGCCGTGGTTATCGCCAGGAGCTTGATATTACATAAGCTGATGCAATTTCTCAGATTTGCTGATTCCCGACTTCATTGTCCGCAAAACAACCGTGGAATTATCTTTGCCCTAACCGCCCCTGACATTTGATGCCCTCACACTCTCTTCTTGATTAGGACGAAGCTGCTGAGGAACAGTTTCCGTCTACCGCGACCCCTATCCTCCGACATGCCTCGACTTGTGCGACGCCGCCCGCTCTCCGAGCGTATTCTCTCACGCCTGAATCCATATGACTTTCTGCTTTGGCTTTCCGAGGAATTTGAAGCCGGTGACTGGGACCAGTTGGAGAAGAACTGGGCTTCACCTATTGGTATTGCGCTTAATGTGATATTCCTTATTGCGCGAGCAAACAGTCGGACTGGTGGTAGCAAGGCTTTTGACGATGTGTTTGGCGACGACGATGGCACATCCTTGCGTGGGTGGCTTGTACGTTAATCTTATCCCGTTTTAATACCCAATATGTAGCCTTATTCCCGCCGAGATTTCTATGTTGAAAGCTAATCAATCGTGATCATTCTTCTTAGGCCTCCTTTATCGTCCATTTGATGGCCGTTGCCTCTGTGGCCAATGCTGTCTACACATTCCAAAAAAGCAGACACTATCGCCTGTTTGAGAACTCTATTGACAACAACCCGGCAACACCATCAGCACATCGTGTACGCGTTGATTCAAGCCCTATGATGCCATCTCCCTTGCGATACATTGCCAAGGCGCTATCAACAGAATCGGCACACTCGAGAGCACACCCTGATGCACAGCGGGATGTCTGGGAGCTTGCGATTTGGGATCCCTCACCACTCTGTCTCCGGCTCTTCTGTCTGTTCAGCCCAGGACACGTCTTGGTATACTGGCTGTTCCTCCCGACGCAGCTCTCCGATCCACGCCCTAGCGTGACGATTGTGACAACGATCATTTTGTCGGCTCTTCTGTCTGTGCAGATGTCTTTCATCTCTTCTTCCTATACACAGCAAGCCAAGGACCAGAAAGTTGTACACAAAGAGGTCTTCAAAGAATATGATGCTAAATATGTCCAACCTCGGACACATCCGTTGATGAGAGATGTTGGCACGCAGTTCTCGGATCCGCATGGTGGTCCACCAAAGACTGAGGATGAGTGCAACAGGGTTGAGACTTACAGCCCGGCCCACATCATAAACCGTGGGTTTAAGACCAGTCCCAACCCTAATTACCTCAAGCATGTCGACCCAGAAGGTTTCACTCCGGCCCGCCAGCCGACTGCATCCACTCCGATCTCATCTATATTTCAAGGTCCGCCAATCAACACTCCGAACATGTCCCGAGATGGCTCGCCGATGGCTCGAGGTACCACCCGAACAACTATGCGGCAGCCACAGTTCCGGTCTACTGCAACAACAGGTGATGGAGGAAGCCTCGGTGTTTACAGCCACGCAAACTCACCACTGAGGAAGTCTGCGACAACGTCGTTTGATCGCCGCTTACAAAACAACGGAGACTTTGTTTATAAGGAGCGTGGTACAACTCCCTTGATGCGGAGCTCAAGTCCGCTAAAAAGAAGTAGTGTACCGGGAGGAATGAACTCGAATGGCCCAGCCACCGTTAATAGATCAGATAATCTCTACACTCGCCGGGAAACAGGGCGGTTCTAAGACGAATGAATGACTCAATTCCATTTCCATATCGTGAAACATCGCCGAACCAAATGTCGTCAGATGTGCAGTTTCCTCCAAGACATGCGCGGTAACAACGTGATAATAGTACCCTTCGTACAGATGTCCTATCCTTAATTCAGGCGACTTAGCTTTACATTTGTTTGTTCATGGTCCTCATACTCATTCGCCACGATGGGGAATGCAAGCTGCTAATGTAGGGCGGCGTATCGAAATTAGGGGCTATGTCATTCATTTCTTTTGTTTCCATCGTTCGATGTTGGTGTTTGATCTGATTGACTTGATCGTTGTATTCAGTACAATTGGCAGTCAGTTTGACTTGAGAGTTCTTGAGTTTACAGTCCACTACGTCCACGATGTGATCTATATCTCTGGATCGCGCTTTCTCTTCAACATCCAGCACTCGCAACTTCCATGCACAGGTGATGCAAGTCATTTAACTTGTGTGGGACTGGGAGTAAGTTACCATTCCAGATGGCGGCGGGACATTTCAACCAGCATCTATCCTAGGGGCTGGCATTCCTTATTACCGGCCTGGCATTCCGACAAACGAGAGCACTTTATTCTTACGCGTTATGAAGGCGACCACCTGTGAAGATCTGTCAATAGCCAGTCTTTTTTGAATCGCCCCGCTCCTTTGAGACTATCAAATCGTTCCTTCGAGAGCCGCCGAAGGACATAATCTTTGCTCAGGATAGTCAGCATAGGAAAAGACTACGCTCTGCTCGCTCCTACACGGCATGGGCTAGGACAATTATCCATTGCGCTGTGCCCGTAGCGTTTGCAAACCCTGTCTCAGTCCCCATTGATCTCAGCCCAAGATGGACGGAGCTTATGTCAAATTGCCCGAAGGACACCTAGTTAATCTTTTACCGCGACCTGCACGCCCAAGTCCCTACAAAGCGTATCGAGTCGAGTACAAGCTATCACCAAAACTGTCGCCAACACCTCCACCCCAATACCTACAAGAAGGAAGATCAACGGAGTACGTTATTACAAGAGGCGCATCAGGAAATATCTCTCAATCACCAAAAGCTACCAAGTTGCCGGTACCGAGGAGCCTCGCTGAAGGTCCCAATCATGATTTGAATCAAACGCCTAGCCCAACTGCACCTCCTAAACTCACCCTATCCAGCCACTCCTCGAGGCGGCTTGGTAGCCAGTCTAACAAAGGTCACGATCAATATTGGAGGAAAATCCGGGACAGATTGGAGGAGTCGCCGTTGTTAGCAAGACGGACCAAGAGCAAGGAAAGCGACTGTAAAAGATCTCCCAACTCGCGCATTTCCTACCACCGCAGCAGACTTCCAGCCAGCACTAGCCAAGATCACGCAAGTTACCGGGTAGGCAATGCACAATCAAGCATTTCGAGTCCAAATGCTCTCGACAGCAGTCCAGTGCAGGGCTCGAGAAAGTATCCTCCCACTACCTGTCCTGTGGAGAGCCAAAACAAATGGCGGAAGGAAGAAGACCAATGGGTTACCATGGACGTTGCCGAAACCACACCCCAGAAATCCATGAGCACAGACGGGACGACTAGTTCCAGCCCTCAATCTAATCCTTCCATCTCGCCAGTATCTGCCGAGAACAGCTCTATAACCGACTGGGAAGACCGATTCGTTGTGAATATGCCAACTGCAAAAGAACCCAATCCTCCAACGATGACAGCTCAACAAATTACCGAGTATCAAAGAAGCATTGAACGAGTGCACCGGGACGGTGGGCAAATGGTAGACCCGAGCACAGTACCTAGTCGTAACGTGTCTCCCGAGATCAGATTCAACCATAGAGAACAAAGGATCCAGAGTCCAAAAGGGATCGCTGTACTCGACGGGGCATACGAGAGGCGACAAGTGCCGAGCTTGTCACAAGAAAAACATCGCCCGGTCCCGCTGCCTCAACAAAATGCTCACCCTGAGCAACTTTCACAGCCTCAGCCCCATAGACCCCAAGCCGCGACTGCATCGCAACGTCAAGCGGCAAACCACTACTACTGCCCGGATGAAGTCGGGTATAATCGGATTAGTACAATTTGGGAGGAATCGCCCACAAAACACAAGGAAAAGAGACATCCCCAAAACGCCGACGGGTCTTTTTTAGGGTGCAGGGAAATTTGCGGGGAGAAGAATCCAGACGAAATCCTCAGGTTCGCTTCCCCAGCTCCAGACGATGCCAGTCTGCATCCACTCCCATTGGCCCTGGGTTCCAGGAACAGAAAAAGTGTGTCAAAAGAAGCGATGAAGCCGACAGAACGACAAACAACACACAGAGTCGAGGAGATCACAATCCCTCAAGAAGAGCAACCACAAACTTCTCAGAATTTGAGACCTGCCCAATGCTCGAAGCCGTCAACCATGTACCAAGATCGGAGTTGCTCCCCGAACCCATCCCCAATTCTGCGAACGACATCCCGGGATTCGAGCAAGGAGAATTGCCATCCTACCAGCAATATACCCGAGCGGCACGGAAGTCTGGGAGAAAACCGGGGGGACGAAGATGTATCCATTATCACACCCACTATCACGCCCACTTCGATTCCCACGCCCGACAAGAAAGCATCTTCGCCAAAGCCGCAAGGGCTGCGTCGTCCTGGTGGCGAAGCTCACATAGTCGCTGCCGAGCCTACGAAAGCCGCTCGCGGAAAGACTCAGATAATTTCCACACCATCGGGATTGCGGCCCAGGGGAAGCAACATGAATACCAAGCCAACAGAGCGTACTTCGACAGCTTCCCAAACGTTGCCACTCCCCAACACCTCCACCATGGGCAAAGACCAAGACGTCGAGGGTCACAACCAAGATCGTGCGCAAGATCGCACTCCAGAACGAGCAACCGGTACAACATCGAATACCATCCGTGGCTTCATCCGTACCTCCGGGGTGGCAAAAACTTCAGGGCTGGACAGACCACCTACAGATAGCATTGCTATAATGTTGCGCAACAAGACTGAGTCCCTCCGCACACGCGCTGATAATCTAAGGAATGCGTCGGGGTCACTCCAGCGTGCGAACCAGAAACAATCGCCTATCTCTCAACCAAGGTTTTCGTCCAGGGATAATGTGGAGTCATCCTGTCAGGAACAGTCATTTCAGTCCGGCATAGAAACCCCACCAGTCGCAGCAAACAAGCCTGTCTTGGAGCCAAAAATGGTCGCAACGGAAAAGAAACCAAAGGAAAGCCAAAAATCTTCCTCGCAACCACCTGCACCAAGCAAACCAGTAACGAAAAGAGTGACTTTGTCAGAGAAACCACCTTCGTCAGTAAAACCCGACAGGACCCCTACATCAACCAGAACGATTTCTGCGCTAGCAAAGCCGGCTAAGTTGAATAAACCCCCCAAATTGGATGAAACTCCCAAGTCTACACAACCAGCCGCGCCTGAAAAATCTCCCTCCAAAGCCAAGAAGCCCCATGCTTCACCAACTAAGGAAGGGCAGATGAAGACCCAGCCTCGCGTCCGTACCTCTGGTAAAGTTTTGGAAATCGCCGAGCTCGATGGGCTTCAAGTTGCAAGTTCGAAGGAGTCTCTTCAACCCACCATCACAGACGTCTCTGCAAATCTAAGTGACATGCACTCCGAAGACACGGATGATCTCGATGGGCAGGGACTAAGCCCCTTGGCCCTTTCACTTCTTTTCAACATTCTTGTTGTTGCTGTCACCCAAGTCAATAAAGCTTTCCTAATGGGCGCCGACAGCCCTTGGGCCAAATTTGTGGTTAATAACACCCTAAACATGACCAGTCACTGTTGGCATGTCTCCTATTGCATCTACACCGTGGTATCTCACTACCACACCACAGGCACTTGGCCTAAGCCCCGCAATGACAAGGCTGTCAGCCGGTTCATAGTGGAGCTTCTTCAAGCCATTTTGTATCTCTTGATTCTTGGCTTTGCAACCATGCTGATGTCTCGGACTGTTGGCTACATCGTTCTCGTGAGCAGCTGGATTGTATGGTTTGCCAGGCCGTTGACGTGGGTCTTTCAGTGTTTTGGCCGTGCCCTGATAATGTAAAATTAGCCAGTCCTTTTAGCTGTATGCTTGTACAAGATTGTTTCTCTGGATGTCTCGAGCATGGAAAGGAGACGTTCGTCGTATTTGGTGCTTTCGGGTCTTTGTCCTGGTCTGCAGCGGTTCTACCTATTCACCTGCGTGTCTTTCGGCTGTATTGCTAGCTCATCATTAAATAGCTCTTAAACTTGGATATTCTATAAAACCTTTTATTCTTTTGTATGCCAATGTACGTAGTAGTGGCCAAGAACATTGACATTGATATTCTTGAATTGAAACCGAGACACGAAAGCCGAAGACCCTGAACACAGAGAATTGTGCTTGATCCAGCGTCGGCTCTCCAATGCTGAAAAGAGAAATTAAATGACGACCAACTTTTGTGGCGTCTCCGAAATCCAGAATTCAGTCTTATGTATAATGTTCTCTCTCTTCACCTCTCTCCCCCTCTCTCCTTCCGTCAAAAAAAAAAAAAAATAGGAAAAGGAAAGGAAATTCAAATCAAACCAAACCAAACCAAACCAAAGACAAACCCAACGCCGACATCCTGATGTTGAATACTGCTACACGCTAGCCCCATGATAGTCTTGCGAAAGCAATGCAATAGCAAAGAAAAGATAAGGAATTTAGACATCAGAAATTCCTTTCTCAACGTTTCAATGTCTGGATATGCGTTAAGGAATTCTTCTTTTAGTCCATCGTGAGGTAAGAACTGCATTCAAGAAAAAAGTATGAAGCGGAAGACAAGAAGAAGAGACCAGAAGGAAAAGGGAAAGGGAAAAAGCAGGAATGGGCTACCGCCACTGCCAGCGCTCTTTGAACTGAAGAAGATAAAGAAACCAAGACGATAAGAGCGGAATAGGTCGTAAAGGCAAAATTATGTTGAATTTTTGTTCTTCTTTCAAATTTTGGTTCCGTTCATTCTTCTGGGCTATCGTTCTGAATCGTACTAGACCAAACAGAATGTGTGACATAGCTCAGAAGAGAAGCACCGGGCCTGGAGAAGAATAGACCCGATAAAACAGAAGAGAACCCGATCGACGAGGCGCCATTGTTAAAAGAGACGGGGTATCGGTACATTATGTTGAAATGAAAACGCTGAGGAAGAAATCGTTGAGAGGTCTTCAGTCGTGACGCCATAAGACATTGCAGGGGGAGCCCGAGATTTATTGGAGAATTTGTTTGTATGGGCTGTGGTATCGTTGAGATGAGTGATGTTGAATTAGGTAAGATGTTGAGTTGATTTTATGAGAGGATTTCAAAGATGGCATACGACCGAGGTCGGGGCTCGATAGTGTGAATAGATAGCAACCAGTTCTGAGTTGAGGTGAACTGACTTAGTTGGCAGCAACGCCATTTTGTTCGGCGTGGCCGTTGGTCAATGGCTTTCCGTCGACCTCGACATTGAGACCTTTGATCTCGAGGCCATTGAATAATTCGAAGACAGCGTTAGATCTGTGGAAGTCGTTATCGACGATGTTGACGAGATACCAGTCGTCCATCACCTGCTGAATCAGCTTGCGACTAGGGCTGGCTGCGTCATAACACTTGGACCAGTGCTCGCCCAAGAGGTATGCCTCATCCTTCCAGGCCAAGAAACTGACTGTCTCGACAATTGTCGGCTGGATGATCTCGCGGCCAGCGAAGATACCCCATGTCAGGGCGTTCGGGCTGTCACGCGTGTTGGTCTTGAGCTCGCCCTTCTTGTTGGTGGCGTGGTAGGTCAAGTCATCGTTCTTCTCGATGCGAGTGATGAGCTCATCGATCAAGCTGGAGGGGACCAGAAGCTCAAGATAGGCTTTTTGGTAGACAAAACCGTTCTTCGGACCCCATCCATACACAGGATGAGATGACTTGACTCCATTGACAGCGGGCTGTGAGTTGATTGTCAGGAATCCCCGCTGGTTGAGCTTGAGCAAGTCCTCCTGGATCTCATGGGCTTCTGTTGTGATTGGCGAGTCACTCCACGGCAGTCGGTCAAGCTTGCCGGTCAAGAAATCCACAAAGATGTCTGAGATATCCTTAACCGATTTTGGCTCGCCCCACAGTTTGATGTTCTGCTCGTTTGTACCCTTCAGGCCCACACCGTAAGCGTCGAGTTCACCAAATGCGGGTGAACGAGAGTCGGTCCAGCGACCGTTAGGGTACTCGTCCCATGTCTGGGTACGAGCAACGTATGAAGAGTTTCGATTGCGCCAGAACACTGGTCGCACATCTTCTGTCCGTCGGCCAAGGCCAAGGGAGGGCCGCCAGGGCAGCGCGCGTTGAATTGGGGACTCTTCCGACGGGGAAAGGTCAAGCTCTTTTAGAACCAACTGGGTCGCCTGAGCCAGGTTCATGGTATAGCTAGGCAATCTGTCAGGACAGGTCGAGCTACCAGGATTGAGGGGTAAGTAGAGCAAACTTACAAATGCAGGTGCTTGATACCAGCTGCGATTAGCTGTCTGCACATATTGGCGATCAGAGTTTTTCCGATTTCTCGAACTGCGGAATCGTCGTTCTTGACCGGCTCAAGGGCTTCCATCCACTGAGGAGGCACGTGAACCTTAGTCCAGCTGGACCGACGAATGAAAGAAGCGTATGTCTGAATGGGCATGATGCCGGGGATGATGGGAACGGTGATGCCCTTGGCTCGGCACTTCTTCACCCACTCGATGAAGTTGTCCGCATCGTAAAACATCTGAGTGACCACAAAAGAGCTACCCGCATCGACCTTCTCCTTCAAGTGGTCGATTAATTGGTCAACATCGGCGTTGTCATCGGCGCCCTCGGGATAGCCGCCCACACCAATATCAAAGTGATTGCCGTACTTGTTCCGGATGTATTTGACCAGATCCTTCGCATAGCAGAACCCATTTTCCGCAGCCTCCCATGTCTCCTTGTCTCGCGGTGGGTCTCCTCGAAGAGCCAAGATATTGGTGCAGCCAGCTTTGTAGGCGGCTTGAAGCGCTTGGTCAACTTTCTCCAGCGGCATGTCTGTGCAAGTCAAGTGCATGCAGGTCTCTAAGCCATATACCGACTGTGCTACGCTGACCATTTCGCAAGTCAGATCCGACAAGCGACCGCCAGCACCCCAGGTGATATCGATGAATGAAGGACCCAACCCATGCATGCGGTCCATCCGGTCATAAAGATTCTGTACACCCTGGGCCGTTTTGGGAGGGAAGAACTCGAAGGAGATTCCAGTCTTTCCCTCTGCCTCATTTTTGGCAAGCTTCTCTCGGATATGCATCGCGTCAGGTCAATCTAGTCTTTGTAAGCATACTACATAATCCTAGGGAGCCATCGATTCCATCAAGCGTTTATCTTTGTGCTCTCGAGCAAACGTACCGAGGACAGGAAAAAAAATATTTAGATTGTTTGTGGAACTGGGACGTCTGTGCAGATGAGACAGGCTACTTCTGCTGCCTGAGAACCTTAGCACAATCCCTGTGTACTGTGACACCTAAATGTCCAGAACCTAGGAATGAAAGGGAACAAATCGATTAAACACAAAAAAATTGAGAAGAAAATAGTGAGAGAAGGAATTGCGAGGCTCCAAGGAGAGTGATGGAAAGGAATTGAGGAATCCGGTGAGCGGAACATTTTGGGGGACAACCTTTGGCGGGGAAGGCCGGCCATCGGAGGTACGGAGGCACGTGTTGCATTTCTTTGAAGGGGGATCTAGGGGGGAATTAATGCTGTAGGTGGAAAAGTACAGAGATGAGGAATTTATCAGCATTTCTTTCCTTTTTTTAACTGACTTCTGAAAGGAATTGACTTGCAAAGCAGAGCGGCCACAGGAGAAATGCCTAGAAATGCCTGAAGTATGCCTTGTTAAAGACTGGCAGAAATTTAAATACCTGAATTTCTATGACAAGTGGCTTAATAAGCAAAGCATCTAATTCCCACTCTTTAAATCCTGGAATTCTCCATTTTTCTTGGCGTTCAAGCATTTTCACTGTGTATTTGTGCTACTCTCTTCCTCCCCTCTACCACTCCCGTACGCTTACCCTAACCACTGCTCGAAGCTTCCCTCGAGGTATTTTAAGCGGTCAGGAATAGTTCTTAACACTAGGGATTTGACGAAACTGATGATTTGTGGGGTGCGTTGTAGGAACAACTTCAATTTATAGTACCTGGTAACTATAGAGCGGTGTCAAAAGCGGTCTAAGATTCAAGCATCAACCCTGTATAATCAGGCACTAGTCCTTTGGCCGCTCTGCCCTTCGCACATGGTCGAATTGTTGTGGGCCAACAGCAGACGGTTCACCTTATTGTCCCTATCCCCAGCAAAATGGTCGTTTCCCCACATTGTATATCTAATTCTTCGGTGTGCTTGTACAATCGCTGGATTAGGCGAGTCAAAGTTTGCAAATCCTGCTAAATTCAGTCTTCTCCCTATCGACTCCTAGATCGCTGGTCTTTTGAGCCGCACATAGATTGCATGATAAGAAGACTGGCGATCGACAACGGAAGAAATCCCTTGCGATGAGACAATCACCCCTACCGCAAAAGTTATTATTTCGGCTATTCATTCGGATACCGGCGAGAGCGCGGACATTGATGGGCCTGGGGTATCCTATGTCATCGTTGAGGGCATTTGAGCGGTTGAACATAGTGATGGTGACAGCTGCGATGGAGCTCAGACAAGGTGATACCTAGGCATCCTAGAGAATTAGATCGGTGGGAAAATTCACTCTAGGAGATAACATCATGACAGTATTTTCGTCACCAGTGATGGTGATGGAGTTGTCGATGTAAATTTTGATTAGGGAATCCCACGGGTCGTGTTTGTCGTTCTGACTGACGCTTCTGACAATTGTGCGGCTGCGTCTGCTGACAGACAATGTGTATGGGGGTGGGACTGTACCTGGAGTGGAAGTAGAGGCAGGTTCAGAGGTAGATATAAGAGAAGGATTGAGGTTTGCCCGGACTTGAGCGAGTTTATTTAGGTGGTGTTGCAGAGGCCTCCTGGTCAACACCCTTGCTATCATCGCTCTGCAAGCCGCGGGAAACACGGTCAGTGGTGTCGGTGGCAGTCTCCTTGACGTTGTAGGAAGAAGTGGTCAGTACCTACAACTTGACAAGTAAATAAAGCAGTCACATGCTGGTGGAGAAATCCGTATGGCCGCAATCAGACATGATTCAAATTGATAGAATTTTGGTAATTGGAGGTAGAAGTAAACAGTATAATATAGTTTGGTTGAAGTATGAGATGTAGAAGGAAGAACTACTGAAGAGGCAAAGAAGAAGCAAAGAAGAGGGTTAAACTAAGCGCGAAACTAAATTTTTGGAGAAATTAAACTCACAGGGTTTCAATTTTGTGAAGAGCATAGTCACAGAAAATTTCGAGCCGCTGCAGTCACTGGGCTGTTCCGCCCGTCAGTAAATGGACCTAGAACTGTGGATGTGCGTCCAACTTGGACTCAAATCCACAGACCATGGGCCAGCTGGGCTCAGTATCCATCAACTGGCAAGTTGTTTGGATTACTAAACTGGATATCCTGGTACCTATCGAATGATAGTATGTTATCTTTACATACATCCGGCCAAAGAACCTACTCGGCAACGTCCAGCCACTGTACTCCAGGTCGCTTCAAGTTCCTGCCTGGGGTTCATAGATAATGTGGCCCTACCTCTCTATCTCGGGTCTAGCTTTAACGAACCTGATCCAGTGTACTTTCAGAACACGCCTGACCCCCATGACCACGCCCATTTCCTAGTGCCCAGGCACCGATTCTCATACATAGTCCAGGATTCCCCTGGATCCCTCTTAGTCCTGCAAGAATTAGTCTTGGCACACACAGATAATTCATCTTGTTCCTCCCTCCAGCCATTGTATCTTACCCGATTGATAGGCCTTCCATATGAAAACTGTACACCGTGAAGACAGGGTTTTTTTATATCGGCGACATGGAAGGTATTTGGCGCTAACCCCCAAAAGGCAAAACTAACCCGATACAGTAATTCACAAGTCCGCCGTTTCAAAGCGCAGTGTGAAGCCACACCGCCTGCCCCTCCATGGAAATGAAAGTCCCGGCAAAATTTTCCCGTTCAACTCGGTTTCGTAATTTGACCTTGTCGACTCTTGGACACTCTTTGACAATTACCTCCAATTCCTCCAACTACAAAAATGTCGAATGTACCTCCTCCATCTGCCGATCAGGACTATAAGTCTACCCTCCTACCTCTCCTCATCTCCAACAATGTCCTCTCGTTCGGCACCTACGTTTTGAAGTCCGGCCGTGAATCACCCTACTTCTTCACCTCTTCCCTCCTGCACACTGCGCCTTTACTGCGCGCCTCCTCTGCTGCATACGCTAGCGTCCTCTCCGCTGAGCCTTTTGTCACCACCAACGCCGACGGCACCGCCCAGCCCAACTTTGACATTATCTTCGGACCTGCATACAAGGGTATCCCAATTTGCGCATCTGTCACCAACGAGCTCGCTGTGCGTGACTCCCTCTCCGGCAAGGCTACCTGGGACAATGTGAGCTACTCCTTCAACCGCAAGGAGGCCAAGGCACACGGTGAGGGTGGAAACATTGTCGGTGCCCCGCTAAAGGGCAAGCGGGTCGTCATTGTGGACGATGTCATCACTGCGGGCACTGCACTCCGTGAAGCTGTGGGTATTATTGAGAAGGAAGGCGGTATCGTCGCTGGTGTTGTTGTCCTGCTGGATCGGGAGGAACGTGTCAGTGATACCGAGTCTAAGAGCGCCATTGGCGTTGCCCAGCGTGATCTTGGTGGCAAGATCCCCATCCGGTCAGTTATTGGTCTCCACGATCTGATCGAGAAGCTGGGTGATAGCATTGGCGCCGATGAGATCCAGCGCCTGAAGGATTACCGTGAGCGCTACGGTGCTCAATAGACAACGGCTTGTGAAACCCGCCAGATCAAGGCATAATGTATAAGCAAAGACACAGGATATATCCCAGGATAATTTGGAGCTGCCCTGAAAACTTTTATGACTTGGGAATCATCCATATCCAAATCAGGCGACGGGCACACTCCTATATGGACCATTGGACCTGACCTTGATAAATGATGCAACCATACATTCTAGACTAGCTAGCAGATGGTTTTCCCATTTCCCCATCTTGGGACAACGTGATATAATGGGCAAGCTAACTACCACTTTGACTTTTGGAACCGCGCATGGAGGCTTCTATCAAACAACTTAGACCAGTGCTCAATCCGCCAATAAGAATCTTGAAAATTGCTCCAATCGGGAAACATGGAGCTGTGTTGGCCAGCTCTCCAATCTTCGATCATGTTAAGTATGTAGCAGAAAAAATTGATAACCCAGTGTGTTTTAAATTCTCCAAATGTTTCTTCGACCCATGTTGTATCCCTACACACCCCTGAACTTGCTGGTTCCACTCGGACCCCGGAACCCCTATGCGCAAGGCCATGTTTCACACAAAATTTGACGAAACAGAAAGTCCCGATTGAGATATATTCGCAAGCCAATAAAGGGACTCAATATTGCGCGGCAAGCGACACGCAGCACGGCAGATGATATCAGTGCTAGGTTATCTTTGGTACCGCGCAAACCCGAGGCACTACAAGTCTCTCATTCAAAACGGGGTAGACAGTCTAAATAGGTAGAGAAATTCTTGTGTCAGATGCTGCGCTCGGGCAATATGTATCTACCGAGTTCATCACTTGATTAGTACTTGGTGGGACATACCACGATACAGTACACAGTATTTCCCAAAGGTAGTTATCACATTGAATCAGATGTTTGTTTAACCCAGCTAACGATTTAGATATGGCTATATAGAGACCAACTAACGAATGCCTAAAAATCTACGCAAGTCAGAATTGCCAACGATGAGAACTCGACACCAGATTAGATCTAAATTCTCTCGAAATGACTCGATTTATCTACGCAACCTTCCAAGGTTACCCCCATATCCTAGATGAGACACCCCGTCGGTGATGTCGATACTCCTGATATACGGGAGCTTCCGGTGATATCCCAATGGCCGCCTGGCGTTTCACAAAGAGTGACAGCACGGGTCCGAGGGTAAAATCCAGAGCATCCAGCTATTTTCAACTAATTAGAGATCACAACCCACGATTCTCAACTAGTTCAAAGTTTGGAGAAGTTCATTTCCAACTAACACGGATCGGTTTCAATTTGAATTGTAGAAGCCTTTCAAGCCCCAGCAACGCCAGCGTCTCAACGAATCAGCAGTTAGATAGTGAAGGGTCTCATCATTTTCTATCTCCAGAGAAGAATTA